ACACTTTCTGTCCAAATTCATAAGTGATTCATAGCATTTTTTAGGGATGTTTACAGAAACGTGTATAAATAGTGATTTACAATTAAACATCTACAATTATTTTCCTTACCTTTGCAGCAAGACCCAATGACTGTGAAAAGGAGTCAATAAACACCACAAGTAGGAAGGTCCTTTTTTTTTTATTGGCAAGACCAGAACAGGCACTTAAACATGCTGCTCAAACTCAAATCAGGAAACCACAAACTCTTCTGAACATGGAACTGCAAAATAGGCAAAAATAAAATAATCCTCCTTTACAGTAAAATAAAGCTCTGCTGATCGTTCAACACAGTTTCAACTATAAACGGTCTAAAACACTGGAGTTAATATAGCCTCTATCTGCTAATTTACCCTTTAACCCTGCAGGCCTGCAGACTTCTGGTCACAGCAGGACAGTCAACAGTCTTGCCCAGCTAGCTAGTAAGTTAGCTAACAAAAAAGCGAAGGGAAATATTTAAGACAAACATCGGTAATTTGGATACGAAAGGACTTATATAAATTCATTATCACTCCAGTTGGTTTCCCGATATATTTAATCTGTAACGAGAAACTATCAAATACTGAAAAGTCGCGAGGCTGAAATCAGCTTCTCGTTCGCCAGCTTGTTTTTCGAATTTACCCGTTCCACCTTAAATGCTGCAGCAGTTACATTCTGGCACCTCAGGCGCCATTTAAGGTGGAACGGGTAAATTCGAACAAGAAGCTGGCGAACGAGAAGCGACTTCAGCCTCGTAAAAAACGAACTTTGAGAGACATTTTACAAGAATTATTTTACTTTTCGGCAAAGTTTCGTGGTGGAGATGCGAGACACGCGGCTATAGCTGAGCTAAAGGTTAAAGCAGAGCAAAGTAAGTCTTTCGTTTCTATACTTTTAGCCTATACTACCACATTAGCACATACTGAGACACATTACAGCCAGGATAGTAAAATGATTTTTGTTGACACTTCGCCGACCCCTGGTGTAGACCACGTCACTAGCCAAACGTTAGCGAGTGTTTTAAGTGCACCTTGCGTTTGGGACTAGTTTGTTTAACGTATCACTCCGCATCACTGCTGTGCGTCATAAGTGATGCTCATTTAGGCCACTAACTACTTCAGCTCGACTGGCACAGCCAGAAAACAGTGCGCTAAGTTAAATCAGTATCAGTTATTTAAGTTCGAAAAAAAAGGATGTTGTTATCAAGAGCCCGCATAAGGTCTATTAATCTTTGGGGCTTAACTGAATCATGTAACTTAGCTAATTAGGTGACGTTAACATTAGCCTGATGCATTCTAATAGCTAATGTAAGGTAGCGTTAGCCTGCTAGCTAGTTAGCAAAGTTTCTTGGCTGCAGTTACTGATCATAAGCAAAGTAGCTAATTTAACTGCTGTACTGCTAGTTATATATCATACCTCTGCTATGACAGTCTGTCTAGCCCACTAACACAACGTTCATGTGCTTTCAGTATAAATAGGCTCATCCTGTGCGTGTAGAGTTCCACACATCTGACTGCTCCTGTTTGATCTTTTGTATAGCCAGAAGAGGACAGACAGCCAGCAGCAGAGCCAGTATCATGATATCTTCAGACTCTTGCAGTGACTTGTGCCGTTTTGTTTATTTTCTTCATATTTTTGTTTTGTTTTTCAGAGAATTTAAAATAATTTCAGTCTAAGAAGAAAAGGAGCAAAGTGAAGGCAATACCCTTAAGTAATGGCCACATGAGGTGGTGCGTTTTATTTTTCATTTTAGAAAAGAGTTGAAGATTTTATTGAGCACATCTGTATTTTGCAGTTCCATGTTCAGAAGAGTTTGTGGTTTCCTGATTTGAGTTTGAGCAGCATGTTTAAGTGCCTGTTCTGGTCTTGCCAATAAAAAAAAAGGACCTTCCTACTTGTGGTGTTTATTGACTCCTTTTCACAGTCATTGGGTCTTGCTGCAAAGGTAAGGAAAATAATTGTAGATGTTTAATTGTAAATCACTATTTATACACATGGTCTGTAAACATCCCTAAAAAATGCTACGAATCACTTATGAATGTTGCTTTGCATGTCACTTTACTATAAGGTATATTAACAGCTCCTTAAAATGCTATGAATCACTTATGAATGTTGCTTTGCGTGTCACTTTACTATAAGGTATATTAACAGCTCCTTAAAATGCTATGAATCACTTATGAATGCTGCTTTGCATGTCACTTTACTATATGGTATATTAACGGCTCCTTAAAATGCTATGAATCACTTATGAATGCTGCTTTGCATGTCACTTTACTATATGGTATATTAACAGCTCCTTAAAATGCTATGAATCACTTATGAATGTTGCTTTGCATGTGCTATGAATCACTTATGAATGTTGCTTTGCATGTCACTTTACTATAAGGTATATTAACAGCTCCTTAAAATGCTATGAATCTCTTATGAATGCTGCTTTGCATGTGCTATGAATCACTTATGAATGCTGCTTTGCATGTCACTTTACTATATGGTATATTAACGGCTCCTTAAAATGCTATGAATCACTTATGAATGCTGCTTTGCATGTCACTTTACTATAAGGTATATTAACAGCTCCTTAAAATGCTATGAATCACTTATGAATGTTGCTTTGCATGTGCTATGAATCTCTTATGAATGCTGCTTTGCATGTCACTTTACTATAAGGTATATTAACAGCTCCTTAAAATGCTATGAATCACTTATGAATGCTGCTTTGCATGTGCTATGAATCACTTATGAATGCTGCTTTGCATGTCACTTTACTATAAGGTATATTAACAGCTCCTTAAAATGCTATGAATCACTTATGAATGCTGCTTTGCATGTCACTTTACTATATGGTATATTAACAGCTCCTTAAAATGCTATGAATCACTTATGAATGCTGCTTTGCATGTCACTTTACTATATGGACAGTGAATTACTCATAAATATGCTATGAACAGTCAATCAACTTAAAGTCTCAAACTCTGTGTGGTGGTGGGACAGGCCCATAATACTTATCCATTCCATTCAAGATCCATCCATTCATGTAACATGCACTTTAGTGAGGATAACGTGACTTCCATCACTTTTATGGTGAAGGCAAAGCAAGGCAAATTTATAAAGGACGTTTCTTACAAAATCATCAGCACCCTGAGTGAGGAAAGTCAAAGAGCCACCACTCGATTGTACTTTGAAGTAATGCCAAAAAAGGAATCATTCCTTGTGATAACAGTGCTTGTCACATTTAACCTCAGTTACACAGGATAACCAATGCACAGTTATACTTGTGCCTTCTCCAAAACCATAAGTGAGGAAGAACATCACTAAAAATAAAACCTCCAAAGTAATTGGGATAACAGTGTTAGCATTTACCCCAAGAAAGTTCAACTTAGTTTAAGTAACATTTTCCACAATTATCTATAGAGTGTTGAATGAACAGTACATTTTATATATGAATAATTAGTGTAAAAAGCAGAAAGAATAGCATATTGCAAAATACAAATGCTTGAGAAAAGTTGAAAGTCTAGGCAAAAAGTGTCAAAACACTTTCTGTCCAAAGGGATAAAGCCAGGTCATTTTATGCTGACAGTCCAGAAACGAGGAGTTTCACTGAAAATAATAAATAAAATGAGGACTTTTATTTTGAAAAACATCTTTCAGTAAAATGACATAGTAGTCCATATTAATATCATGTAAAACATGTATAGTTTATGAATGTTGATTTAAGCATTCATGAACATGTTATGAAGTGTTTATGTAAGGTGATATGAATGTGTTATGTACACCCCCTTCAAAGAAAGTGTTACCAAAAAAACTGTCTTGTCCAGTAAAATCATCTTAAATATAATCAGTAAGTCTAATATTTCTCTGGTTTAGATTGTTGTAAGCTTAAATTATTTAACTTATTTCAACTTATTACCTGTTTCAGTAATTACAAATAAAATTATCTCACTATATAGGCAGATAATTGAGCTTGTTGTAAGAAATGAGCTTCAAAGTATAGTGAGATAATTTTACTTGACAAGATGCTATTTTTTGCAGTGTATGTGTTTACCTAGTTTATTTAGTTTATTCTGCCTCCATATTATTTTCACCACCTTATAGGCCAAATTTTATGTTAAACTCAGTAAATAAACAGTAAGTGTGTGTTATAGTGTATAGCAGTGAGTCTCAGTAGAGGATTATTTAGTTATTTACTTTACACGTCATTTAACCAGGGCGCCCAAACTTTTCCATATGACTGTAACTGTCACCAGGTCATGGGTAAACTCAGCTGTTAAAGGGGAATTCCAACAATTCTTCAAATTTTATCCATAATTCAGTCACAGAGTGGTTTGGTGTGAAATGGTTCAGATGTCAGTGGTGGTGATAGGAACCAGGGGTCGCCATGACTACAACACAAATACAGACATTTTATTTACTATCCAGAACCACCAGTGAACCTACACAAGTCTTCTGAGTTTATATGGAATGTTGATGATGGAAAATAGTGGAAAATCTGAAATAATGTTTTCTTTGGGGACTATTTTGCCTCACAGCACCCTGCATGTATCCCTCCACCATGAATGGCGTTTAAGTTCTCTAAACTATCATAAAACAGTGTCTCAGTCATCAGGCAGTGAATTCATAACCATTTCATGTAGGAACTTTCTGTGAGGGAGCTTTTAGAGGTGGACGTCTGGTTCCTATCACCACCACTGTGAACAGTTCTGACTCGGTAAGTTCATCTAGCACAGAGCGCGTTTCAGACCAAACCACTCTGAATGACTGTTTACATCTGAACCACTTAATTATGCAGAAATTTAGATAAATTGGTGGAATTCCCCTTTAAGCCAGACTTGGGCGTAGACAGAGTGCAGTTTTGAAATTTAGTGTCTTTAAGGGTTAAACAGCAGAGTCTACTCGTTAGAAGGGCACTTTTAGACACTACTTGAACGACATACATCCCCCACTACTCGATCTCGTGTCTGTGTTGAATATGCGGTTCAGTACCCACCCGTGGGCTGGATGAGTGGGTGATAAATCAGCAGTCCTGCAGGGAAACGCGTCCCAGCGTTCTGAGTCACTCTCAGCGATCTCCCATTATGTTTATCTGCGCTACAGATCGAGCCGGTCACCTGGTCACTCCAGTACACACGACCCTGCACAAACACACACACAGGACAGTTTCAGTAGCCAAATCTGAATTATGTGAACTCTGAATTCAGCACATGCTACTCTACAGCATCAGGAGTCTGAGCTGTTTTAAAGCTGGACAGGGTTTAATAAGGAAATGTTCACTTCAGATATTTCACAATCAAATCAACAACTGATCCAAACACGAACCAACTGAACTTACAGTTCTAGATAGATAGATAGACAGACAGACAGATAGATAGGCAGATAGACAGATAGATGGACAGACAGACAGATAGATGGATAGACAGACAGATAGATAGATAGACAGACAGATAGATAGATAGATAGATAGATAGATGGACAGACAGACATACAGATAGATAGGCAGACAGACGACAGACAGACAGACAGATAGATAGATAGACAGATAAAATTCACTACAGAGCAAAACAAGAACAAAGGTATTACCATATAGAAGTAAAGATATATGATAAAATATAGTAAAACAACCATAAAAAATTTAATGTGCAGTACAAAAATCAGTAAATAAAATATGTAGGTGACAGGGTGGATAAACTGAGTGATAAACACTATAAACAATAACATGCTTATAGTTCTATAGATGTATAAACAAAGCGGCAGTGCATAGTAATATGAGCAGAGAGACGAGAATAACAATGTCCAGTTAGTGCCCAGTGAGCCTGTCCTGTCAGCAGCTCAGTATACAGTAACGTTCCGGCACAGTGATGAGGTTCTGTCATAAGTCATTATAAATTAGACATTATGTTTTTTTTGTTCATGTTCATTTTTGGCTAAACTTCGGTTTGATGATATAAAATTCCTGTCTGAGTGTTTAATCATTTGGGAATCATATGCTTTTATGATCACTGAGCTACGTGCCGGACTTCAAAAAATGACATTTCTGCCACACTGTGGACATAAACCGCTTTAGTAGCTTTAGTACAGCACAGATTGCAGAGCCAAACTAAAGATCTAGCCTAAACTAATTTTAAGCTTTTTTTTAATCAGCATGCCAGCCCTTTCTGAACTAAATCCAACAGCCTACGTACCTATAAAACAACAGTCTTGACAACTTTCTTGCAGGCATGGTGAGTTTGACAGTTTCATATTCACTTAAGTAAAAACACCCTAACCACTTTTTCAGGCAGCTCTCTAAGACACAGCCAAAATAACCAGAGAAAAGGTTGGGCTTTTGGGCCACAACCGCCACTTCCTCACTACTGCTGAATACATGCAGCAAGAAAAAAGCACGAGAAGGGGGAAGAATACTGTTAGCACTGAAATAAAGGCAAACAAGCAATAGAATTTAAACAAAAATAACTACAATGACAGGAATATGGGACATATTTTTCCCCCTAAGTATATTTATTTTGCTATAATATCTGTATGTTGGTACAAAAAAATCTTTTTTTTTGTTTAATTTATTTTAGTTATTTTTAATACTATAATTTCAGCACAAGGACTGTGGTTGAAAATGAACTGGCACACTTTGGGTTTATTACCATGCAATGTCTCTGATAAATACATAAAAAGTGAAGAAATAAAGGAAATAAGGAAAGGAAATGCAGTGGCAGTCACTGAACAAGCCACTGAGCAGCTTGTTGTTGAAGACGAAGTGAAGACAGTGGTCGCAAAAATAGGACCACCTTACATCCGTTCCAAGTTACTGACTGAGGCATCGTTTATATATATATATATATAAACACATTATTTACATTTCTTTCTTCTGCTTACCACAAATGTAGTCGATCAGCTGAGACGTGTTGGGTGTCTTAAGTTTGCATCTTTAGTTTTAGCAATGAAGTGAAGAGGCTAATAGCTAAAATGTTATGGAAGTTTATACCCCACCAATTAGCATGGTGCTGACAGCAGGCCTGATGCTGCATTTACATGTTAAATTCGAAAAGAAAAGAAAAGGAAAAAAAACTCATTCCATGCCTCATAGTGGTCCTCGATTCCAGAAGCCATGCTTGGTGAAAACCAAAGGACAGCATTTGATCAGAAGAGCCTCATACCAGCTGTAAAGCATGGTGGTGGAAGTGTTATATATCCAGTGGCACCATGCAGTTATAAGGAAGACAACAGCATCCCTGCCAAAAGTGTATGATTATCAGAAGAGCTTTAGCAGTGTAGACTGTTAACCTATGTATCTCACACTATCCAGTAATGAGATTTTTCACACAAGTATCATCTCAAATGGATTTGCTGTGGCTGGTAATGAAAATGTACAGGCAGTGCAGACAAAACAGTCACAGCACAAAATATATTTTGAATGATGATTGCAGGAAATTGCAACGTGCCAGCAAGTTAAATAAATTAGCTTTACTTTCCAAAATTTTCCCCATATGCTAGGCGTTCCTCACATTTTGGGCCCACTTATAACACTTTGAGGTTTAATGTACCAAAAACAGTCACAATAATTTCTACATGACCATTTTCCCACCAGTCTTTTTTTTCCCAGAATAAAACTGTTACTGAGCCTTTAAGACTGATTCATGTAAATGAGCTCTGTTCTGATTGGCTACCCTCATTCAAAAAGCACTCCAGACTGAAACACTCCTTAAAACTTCAGTGTGAATGGGCGGGGCTAAATTGCTCTAGGCTGAATAGGTGAACAGCACCTTTTTTCTGACAGTGTAGAGGAGAATTTTTCACTTAAAAAAAATTCATATAAAAAATTCCACATCTAGGATATTCTCTCTCCCACAGAAAGGTAATCTAGTGCAGCAATGACAGAAATTTGGTTTCAAACACGGCAGCCATAACAGAAAAATCATGTGACTGAAAGTACAGAAATAATCATTCTTTGCAGTTCTGCACAGGAGCAGCAGCACATACCTCAAATACTGCCAGTCCAAACGGCTCGTCCAGATAACCGTTCGATTCCACCACCGTCTTCCGATGCTGCCCGTCGTATCTGACCCGTGATATGGTGTGGAGTCCTGAGTCCGCCCAGTACAGCAGCCCACGGGGAATATCTGATTAGAGGAAGAAAAATAATGCATAAAATCAATCAGTCCATCAAATAATCAATCATCCAAAAATTCAGCTAAACAATGCAGGACACAAACCAGCACTCACTGTTCTCTATATAAAAAACATAATTAGTGAAAAGACTGGACTCTTCTTTAGTTCTACTATTTTCCAATTTTATAATAATAAAGAAGACATAGAACACACATAATGATATATGATAAATATAACAAAAATATCCAAACTGTTTATAGCAATTAAATGTTTTGTACCTAACTACATAAATATATCTATTTATGTTTGTTTTGGAAACAAATTTCAAGCATTTAAGCAGTTGGGACGCTGTGTAAATTGTAAATAAATGTAAATAAAAACAGAATGCAATGATTTGCAAATCTCATAGACCCATATTTTATTCACAACAGAACATTGAACACATATCAGATGTTGAAAGTGAGACATTTTACCATTTCATGAAAAAATATTAACTTATTTAGACCTCGATGGCAGCAACACATCTCAAAAAAGTTGGGACAGAAGCAACAAAAGGCTGGAAAAGTAAGTGGTTCTAATAAATAAAACAGCTGGAGAAGCAATGTGCAACTAACCCACATGACTGAGTATAAATAGAGTATTTTAGAGTGTCTCAGAAGCAAAGATGGGCAGAGGTTCACCAATCTGCAAAAACTTTCTAAAAATTGAGGAACAATTTCAGAAAAATGTTCATCAGTGTAACATTGCGAAGACTTTGGATATTCCACCATCTACAGTACACAATATCATCAAAAGATTTAGAGAATCTAGAGAAATCCCTGTATGCCAGGGACAAGGCCGACGGTCAATATTGGATGCTTGTGATCTTCGGGCCCTCAGACAGCACTGCATTAAAAACAGGCTTGATTCTGTATTGGAAATCACTGCATGAGCTCAGAAACACTTCCATAAATCACTGACTGTGAACACAGTTCACCGTCAATCGAGAAATCCAAGTGAAAGCTGTATCATGCAAAGAAGAAGCCATATATAAACAGGATCCAGAAATGCCACCAACTTCTCTGGGCCCAAGCTCATTTAAGATGCACTGAGGCAAAATGGAAAACTATTCTATTCGGTTTTTATTTACATTTATTTGCATTTTACACAGCGTCCTAACTTTTTTGGAACTGGGATTGCAAAACAGTTAGGTATGTGATTCTCACTGGTACTGTATCTCTAAATAACGTCCATGATGACCCGCAGAACGAAAGTGCATATTCTCACCTAAACAGATGGAGACCGGGTTGCGTATTATCGAGGTAACCAGGGCTTTTCTGTCCATTCCATCAAGACTGGACTGCTCAATCCTGGGTGAAACCCCACCATCCGCCCAGAACAGCAACCTAGAAAGATACATATAATATATATATTTTGAATGAGCATTAATATATGAAATGTACACATATATATATATATATATATATATATGGAGTGAATACTGATCTATATTGGCCGAACATTGATATATATGGAATGAGCTTTGAAACACATGGAATGATCACTGATATAGAATGAACAGTGACAAACAGTGAAAGGTGACATTTCAACACAAAACAACACTGACATGTTCCTGAAGTTTGCACACCTCATTGTCACTAGTGCACCACCCACATGTATTCAGAGCAGCTCTGTGGTCGGAAACTGTTGAAGGGCCTCAGCAAATACCAGCTGGAGCTTAAAGAAAAGTGTTTCTGGTAAAGTGCACTTCTTAGAGTTACTAATGATCTCCTACATGTAGCTGTTTCAGCAGCTCTTAGTATGCTGACACTTTTTGATCTTAGGTCCGCTTTTGATACCATACATCATGAACCATTACTCCCTCGTATGCGCAGCACTGGTATTACTGAATACGCCCTTTTCTGGCTTCCTTTATGTCTTAGTGATAAACGGAAATATAGAGCCAAAAGGGGTCTGCTTCTAAGGGTGTTCCACAGGGCTCAGTTTTAAGTCCCCTACTCTTTCATATATGCGCTGCCACTTGGCCATATAATACCCCATCCTGGTTTAAATTTTCATTGTTAGGCAGACGACACTCAGATCTATGTAAGTGTCCTGCTCAGACTAAACCACCACTTGCTTTATCTGACTGTGCTCCTGACAAAGTCAAGGATGAGTATGAATTTTTTTTTATACTGATCGCCAGCAAAACTGCTTTTTTTAATTTGCTCAAAAGGTACTGACATCCAGTTCATCTGTCCTTGGCATCAATATTGATGGGATTCTGGTGACTCCTTCTCCAATATCTGGCTGAGTTTCATCTAAGGCTTTCCACTGCAGAGCCGAGAAGTTCTGAGCACGGAGGGTAACCGTTCCAGTGGCGTTTCCACATGAACACAGTTTGACATGGAAGGCTTAAAAACCGGGCTCAGCCTGTTTTTCTTTGGCACGGTTAGCTAACCGTACTCAGGGTCACAGAACCGTTCGGTGGGATGATGTAACGATGTAGCTGTTCGCTGACTCGTTATCTGTTTATGCCAGTTTTGTGCCACAGCCTCCTGCTGCATTATTTCAACCCAAAAACAATCAAATAAGTTCAGTTTGCTCAAATAAGTGAAAACAGTGCACGATTTTAAAGCCACCATTCAATAATCATGAAAGCTTCAATCTAAGACCAGTTTCTAAAAGTCAAACAGCGCTGCTAACCAGAAGAGAGTAGCTGGTTAGCAATATCTTAGCTAGCATGCTGCCAGCTCTGCTCACCACAGAACAGGTTTGACTCTGACTAACAGAAGCTTCACTGACACTAATTTAGATAATGACTCAGCTCTGAGGAAGAGAAGTCGAGCGGCTGATGTTGGAGGGACAGAACGCTGAACTTAAACCTGTTCTCTGGTGTTTGGAGCTGGAGCCTTACAGCTAAACTAATGCTAGCCAGCTCCTCTCTCCTAGCTAACTTAGCTTAGCTGAAGAGATCCAAACACCGCAGTACAGGTTTGATTCGACTAACTGCTCTGCTATCAAAAGTATAAATGATAAAAACTTATGACAGCGAGAGCAAAGTCGACTGATCGACTGACAGAAAGACGAAATCTGACCCGTTCTGTAGTGCATTAAGCTGTAACCTGGTAGGCTAAGCTAACACGAGTGCACGGTGCCTCTCATCACAGTAAGGGCTCAGTTCTAGTGAACTGATGATTGAAAACACCCGTTTAGAGGATAAAGACTCACATCTGAGAGCACAAATTCAAAATGACTGGTGTTGAAGTGAAGATAAACAATAGAATTGCTCTGTGGTGCTTTGAGCTGAACCAGGTGACGCTAATGCTAATGTAGCTGGTTGTTCAACTACAGGTGAAACCCACCTGAGTACAGGCTGTTTCAGTAACAGATGCTCAAACACCACCAGATGGAAACAGAAACCGTAACCGGTCTCATGAGTCTGGAATAGTGCGAAACCCCCAGGCCAGTCCAGAGAACTATTTGGCTTGATAGTGGAAAAGTCCCATCCCATATTTTAAGATCGCTAAATTTAGGCCTTCATGTTCCAAGGTTTAAATTGACTTCTATGGGTGGTCGATCATTTAGTGTAGTAGCTCCCAAATAATGGAACACTCTCCCCCAGTCTATTCAGTATGCTCCTCTCTGTCTTCATTTAAATCTCTGTTAAAGCCTTACTTGTTTTCACTGTGTTATCATTGTTCTGTTTACACGTCAATGTGTACCTTTTGTTGCAAATTGTTCAATGTGTTCATTGTTCTTTGATTGCAAAGCATCCTTGAGCATGAGAAAGGCGCTATAGAAATAAAAGTGATGATGATGATAAAGATGCCAGTTAGTATACATGGTGATCCCTTGACCAGAAATACTTAAGGTTGGCTGATAAATGATAAGCAGCCACAGATGGGTGGATATTCAATTTATAAATATAAACATTCAATGAATAAATCTCAAACATTATGTTCAAACCATACACATCAATCATTCCATATATATCTGGGTCCATTCTATCAAGATGTCTCATACTACCCCCTCCTGGGTCTGTGCGGTAGTGCACATGGTTAGGCAATGTGCTTTTGTTGCTCTTTTCTAGCTCCACTCTGGTCCCACCCACTCCTCTTCTATACACACACACACACATAAATCTTCCAAAGACTAAATAAGGCTCTATATCAGTGGTCACTAATAGGCGGACCGTGGTCCGAGTCCGGACCCAGACGCTGTCCTATGCGGACCTGGACCTATAACCGATAAACTATGGAGAATTATTTAATTTCGACGGGGTGGTCCTGTTTTATTCGGCGTAACTTTTCTAGCCTTTACGGTAGCTTTAGCGGCCCGGGAAACTCACAGACCAATCGTATGCGTTGTAAATATCACACGTGATGCTACTCAGCCAATCAGATCTGTGCATTACGATGAGCACTGGGACTCGAGTGATTGACGCACACACAGGGGAGGGACGAGGTGTCGGAGAAGAAATTGAGTCAGAGGGAAGTTATTTCACACGGCGCACTCTAAAAAGAGAAAACTGACAATAAATGTTGTTGAAATATGACTGAACTGTACTTTATTTGATTTGATATTCAGTTGTTGACAGTATAAGGCGTTGATATACCTACTAGGCTACTTCAGTAAACAGTATATGGCACTGAGTCATGATGCAGCTTAGACATGATGTTCCGGACCTGTGCTTGAGGAAATTCTCTAACTGGACCTTATTGAATTTTAATGACATACCCCTGATCTACATGTTCTCCTTTGTTTTTCCTGTGTGTTGGTGAAGTCACTGTGTTATGAGCTCTGAGCAGTGATCCTACTTATATTACGTACATATATATTCCACACACACACACACACACACATATATACATACACACACATATACTGCTGGATCTGCCTTGGTTAAGTGCTGTTATTGTGAAATGGAAGCATCTAGGAGTAACAACAGCTCCATAACAACAGCGGTAGCACATAAAAATGACCTATTATCTGTAACTTTGCTCACCACATAGTTCCACACTGCCTCTGAAAGCACAAGAACTGGGCATCAGGACCTTCATGAAATGGGTCTCCATGGCTGAGCAGCTGCACACAAGCCTAAGATCACTATGCGCAATGCCAAGTGTCGGCTGGAGGGGTGTAAAGCGCCGTCACTGGACTCTGGAGCAGTGGAAACGTGCTCTCTGGAGTGATGAATTAGCTTCTCTATCTGTTAGTCTGATGATGAATCTGGGTTTGGTGGATGCCAGGAGAACGTTACCTACCATTGCCAACAGTAAAGTTTGGTGGAGGAGGGATGATGAGCTGGGCTGTTATTCAGGGTTTGGGCCCCTCAGTTCCAGTGAAGGGTGATGTTGATGCTGCAGCACAAAGACATTTTACACAGTTATCTGCTTCCAGCTTTGTGTCAGCAGTTTGGGGAAGAGCCTTTCCTGTTCCATGACTGAACCCCTGAGCACAAAGCAGCTCCATAAAGTCATGGTTTGACCAGTTTGGTGTGGAGGAACTCGGAGATTGTGAGCCAGACCCTCTCGTCCAACATCAGTGTCTGACCTCACAAATGCTCTTTAGACTGAATGGGCAAAAATCTCAAAAATCAAAAATTCTAAAATCTTTTAGAAAGCTTCCCAAAAGAGTGGAGGCTGTTATAGCAGAGGGGGGGCAACTTCGTATTAATGCCCATGGTTTTGGCATTGGACATCCAACAAGCTGAAATAGGTGCGATAGTCAGGTGTCCACATACTTTTGGCCATAATGCTGTGTGCAGAATGATGAGATCACTCGTGTCTGTTTTCGTGTCCTGAAGCTGTTATTGTACATGTGGTGCTGCTGAAGAAGCTGTGAAATCTCGCAGAAACTGTTTCTGTGAACTGAAGTAATCTAACACTGCGTTCAAGAGGTGTCAAACTTTGAAACACTCATCTTTTCTCGTTTAAATTTCACTCAATTTTTAATGAAAGTGAAAAACGCTAAACTTGGTCTTAAATGTGAAAAAAAAAAAAAATATACCTGCACTTCTATATGGCTTGTGTGTCTGATATAACTAATACAATTAATAAAAACAACACATGTATCTATATATATATATATATATATATATATATATATATATAAATATATATAATATATATATATATATATAATATATATATATATATACACACACACACACACACACACATATATATGTACGTATATATATATATATATATATATATATATGTGTGTGTGTATGTATGTATGTGTATATATATATATATATATATATATATATATATATATATATATATATATATATATATATACACACACACATACATACATACACACACACACACACACACTATACCAAGTCCTTGGACAAGACACCTAACCTGCCTCTGTAACGTGATTAAACCAAATTAGGGGTCGGCAACGTCTTTTACTACCCTCTAATAGATTTGTAGGTAAAAATAATAATAATCCTCCGTAACCGTTACATAAAGCTTTGCTGGGGCTTCTAACACAAGGTTCAGCCGATAAATGGTCTTAAACACTGCTAATTCACCCTTGAATCCTGAAGATCAGCGCAGACTGCTGGTCACACAGCAACACAGACAACAATCTCGCCTAGCCTGTAGCTAACGAAAGAGAAAGAAGAGAAATATTTAAAACGTTGACAATTTAGAGACGAATGGACTTATTTGTATTTATAATCACTCCAGCTGGTTTCCTGATACATTTAATCTGCAACTCAGCTTCTCATTCGCCAGCTTCTCATTCAAATTCTCCCGTTCCACCTTAAATGTTGCAGCAGGTACACTCAGGCACCATTTAAGGCAGAACAGGAACGTTCGAACAAGAAGCTGGCGAATGAGAAGCGACTTCAGCCTTGCAAAAACTTAAATGTTGAGAAACATTTTATAAGAAACTGTTCTACTTTTGAGGAAAAGTTTCCTGCTGGAGATGCAAGAAAAGCAGCTATAGCTGAGCTAAAGCTTAAAGCAGAGCAAAGTAAGTCTGTGTTTTTGTTTATCTTATTTTTTTTAGCGCATACTAGCACATCAGCACATGCTGAGACATGTTTACAGCCAAGATGGTGAAATGTTACTTCAATAAAATGGACATTAAATGTTGTGGCTCCCAAGGTGGTTTGATTTTTGTTGAGAGGACAAAATGGCTCTTCTTAACATTTGGGTTGTGACTCCTGATCTACATAAATGCCACAAATGTAAATGTAAGTTAAAGAATCTGACTTAATCAATTAACCATCAAATTACACATTTTGGCTGATCAATTAAGGGTAAGAATTGGGGTGAGAAGGAAATAGTAGGAACTGATCAACTTTACAGTGTAAAGTAGGCCTAGTCCCATTTCTTCTTTTTACCCCTACCCCTTGTTTTCGAGTGTCACCTTAACCCCTTGGAACTGACTTACAGGGGGTAGTAGTTGAAATCTTGCCCTACGAAATGGGACCCTCAAATTAAAATAAAAAAATAAATTAATAATAATAAAAAAAAATAACACATGGCTTCATTAACAGCTACTAGCGCTGCTCTGTAGGCGACCCTGCCAGTCTACAGTGACAGCAGAGGAGGGTAAAGTTCAGCTCCTCACTGCTGGGCTTTAGTTACATTTAGGGCATCATATGATCTTCAAAGAGGGGGGCAATTATTTATTATCACCCACCCCTAATTCTTCAGTGATATGAAGCTGAAGTCAGATATTCACCAGATTCTTGTTCGAATTTTCCTGTTCCACCTTAAATGGTGCAGCAGTTACGACCGCAATACACTGAAACAACATTAAACTGAAATAATACGATGGTTATCGTAATTTTTTTAAATTCTCACATTTGTGGGTTTCTTTGGTCTCTTGTGCTCCATTTTCTTTTTTCCTCAAAACTCTCTGTTTGGAGTCTCTGAAAAACCTCCGTTTGGAGGGTCATGTAGCCCCAACACTTCACCCTCCCCCTCTATCTCAACAAGAATTGGGACACCCTACCCCTAGACTGGAACACACAAACAGAGGGCTAAGGGCTGAGTGGTAGGGTGAGGGGTGAAATGGGACTGGGCCTCAGTTGTCATTATCAGCGTGACGTACCGCAGCAGAGGCTGGACAGCGACGGCGGCGGGTCGGGTCAGTCCGGTGATGAGCGCTCTGTGCTGTTCTGATCCGTTCAGAGAGGAGACGTGTAAAGCTCGAGTGTGATTGCTGGTCCAGTACAGAAGCTCATGCACCCAGTCCACAGCCAATCCCACAATTCCTCTGGTGCCTTCAAACAGCACGGCAGGCGTCTGATCTCCATCAGCCAGAGACAGCCTGAAACACCCACACACAGGGGAATCACAACGTTCTCAAAGAGCTTTAGTCCCTCCAGGATTCTTACCTCTACATTGTTACATCTGAGTATGTTTAATAGGTTTTGAATTCACTCATTCCCAGAATTCCACTACTGTACTTACTTGTTTATACAATACAAACTACTCACGCTGTATTTCTTGTATTGCACTGTATACATTACAATATGAATATGATACACTATGAACATGGTAGATTGTTGTACACTCCTAAAAACTATGGCTCTTTAAGGGTTCTTTAGTAAAGTCGTTGGTTCTATAAAAGACTGATGGAGAATAATAATACAGAACCTTTTTGAAAATGGTTCCCTTTTTAGAAGAGGGTCCCACACAGTACCCTGCTATTGTTACAATGTCATGCTTGAAACAAAAGCAGAACCCTTTTTGGTGCTATACGGAACCATCAAGAACACATTCTCCCTCAATTTGAAGAACAATTTCCCTATTTGATCATGCAAATGTTTCTTTGAGTTTAAGAGTGTATATTGTGTCAACCTTGTTCATTTTATTATGGTTTGTGTATTTTTTCTTCTTTATTTGCCTTTGATTTTTATTTTTATTCATAAATATATATATTTATTTATTTATAAATATATATATTTTTATGAAGCAATATTATTTTATTGCTTCATGGGCTCTGTTCTCTATTGTTGATGCTAAGCAAAGTGCCTTGGGATAATAACACATTATTATGATTATTATTATTATTATTATTACCATAATTATCATCATCATCATCAGGTATCATGTCTGATTGTCAGATGTGAGTGCAGGTGAGGAGTTCCTGCAGTACCTGTACACTCCTGTGTGCTCAGGGTTGCTCCAGTAGAGGGTGCTGTTTGCTAAGGATGCTGCTAAAGGCCCAGCAGCTCCTGTACTGTCTGAGATTTTCCTCTGATCTGAACCTGAGCTGCTCATCCAGCCAATCCCTGCACTGCTGGAGAAAACCAGACCTGCAGCATCACCTGCACACATTTCAGCACAGCAAACGAGAGAAAAGTGCATCAGAATCAGAACTGTGTTCACACAAAAACAGAAAATATATAATAAAAAACATAACAACAACATATAATAATTAATTGTGTGTCCCTGAACACATCTATGACCCGATATTTAAAATTAAAGGCAGTGTGTAAGATCTAGTGGCATCTAGTGGTGAGGTTGCAAATTGCAACCAACTGAACCATGTTTTCTGCTGCTGCCTGTCCCAATTTTCTGTTCGTCAAAATTTGGGTGCCCAAACGTCTGAACACAGAATGGTCAGCAGCACCAGAAGCAACCACTGATCCTTCTTCTTTCTACATCTTCCAGGCGGAGCTACAGCGCCACGAAATTCAAGCTGCTGCTTCAGCGTAAAAACATGAAAGGCGCCCTCTAGAGCCAGAGTTTGGTTTGTCTGCTCTGGGCTACAGTAGAAACATGGTGGCGCAACATGGCGGCCTCTGTTGAAGAGGGGCTGCTCGCTATGTAGCTATGAAGGGCTCATTCTAAGATAACGAAAACACAACGATTCATATTTACAGGTGATTATACATTAATGATTCTGTTGGTTTTGTTTACTATATTCCATTTTTACTAATAAATCCCTAGAAATCTCACACACTGCACCTGTAAAACCTATTAATGCAAAATATGTAAAACTTTGTCTAAACAAGCTGCAAAAGTTTTATTTATTTTGCTTTAGAGAAGTTTACTCTTTTAGGCAATGAATAAATAAATATATAAATAAATAAATAAATAAATAACTAACAGGACTCACCTGTGGCCAGGCACCGCCCACTCTCTGAAGTCTTCAGGTACCCCTCCTCACACTCACATGTAAGAGAGCCGCTAGACTGGACACACAGCTGATCACACACATCTCTGTCCAGACAAGGATCCACCTCTGAGCAACAATCACATAAATTAATTAATTCAAAATTAAATAAAAATAAAGTTCTACATTATTTATTAACAAAAAAACAAATGCTAATAAATAAGGATGGTTCTTCAAGGGTTTTTTAGTGAAGTTAATGGTTCCATACAGAACTATGAACACTCAAAGAACACATTTGCATGCTTAAATGGTTCTCTGCACGGCAAAATGGTCCTTCAGGTTGATGGAGAATGTGCTGTACATGGTTCTACACAGAACCTTTTTGAGAGTAGTCCCATGTAGCACTAAAGGGTTCTTCTTATTGTACACAAGCTTGACACTGCAACAATAGCAGAACGCTTTTTGGTACTACCATATATGACACATTCTCCACCAATCTGAAGAACCACTTCACCATGCAGAGAACCATTTAAGCATGCAGATTCTTTGTTCTATGTGTGTTTAAGATTCTATACTGAACCACTGTCTTTACTAAAGAACCCTTGAAGAACCATCTTTTTAAAGAGTGAACACAAATTAGAAAGGTTTTTATGAAACCTTTAAGTTAAGGTTCTTCTCATTAACACACACCTCAATTACAGAACCAAGACCACATAAAGAACACATGTGAGTGAATAGATGGTTCTGTACAAACCTGTTCTACATAGCTTGACCTTTTAAAAAATGTATATAAGACCAAAAAAGGGTTCTGCTACCGTTTCCTTCTCTGGTTCTGTACAGAACCCTTTTTGCTGACATACTGTGCTGCCATTGCTGTTGTTTTCTAGTTGAAGAGTGCCACCTAGTGGTGTTTCTGTTGGTTTGCAGGTGCGCCCGTGTTTGTTGTACACACAAAGGCCTAATCTAAATCTCCAGTCTAATCCTCTAATACTCTAATCCTGCATTCATCTAGACCGCAAGGGGGATAATGTAGACATTCCATAAAGTTCCAGAAAGGCTTGGGATGCAGCCTTCAGCACACATTGCTCACGGAGTTACCCATAATTCACAGTGAGGTGCTCACAGCCTATTGTGATACTGTTTTTTACTTTGTGATTTTTTTTTATTAATAATGATCATTAAATCCATGATATAATGCCCACAAAATAGCTGTTCCTGATGCCAAGTGGTCTGTTTTTGTTTTTCCATGTTTTGTTGATTTTCCAAGTGTAAATAACACATCCTAACATATTCATTTTCTGCTATTTATTGTTTGTTATATTTTGTTTTTATTCTTGATTATCTTTTCTTCCTCTGTTGTTTTTACTTTGTGCAATATTCAAAATGTAAACGTCCCCAGCAGCTCAGTCCTTTAAACCTACCTATTTGCTTAAACTAGACACCTGGCATCCTTTCTTTACTGCAAGTTCATTAACCCTCTGAGCTCTGAGGTCATTCTCTCTCGATCTGTTCAAATTCTCTCCTTTAAAGGTTCTTCATATAACATGATCCTCATATGTTTCATATCTAAATGCTCCGTTATCTTCATCTCTACTTTCCAAAACCGCTGCAGCAGCTTCAGCAGCTGTAAACTCTCTGCACGCCATTTCACATGAGTCTCCGATGTGGACTGAATGAAGAATGAAGGGTTTCCGGCGTGATGGTCAGTCCTTAGTGATTTCCTGAGTGTCCATTAGTCAGTTTCACACAGAATGTAGACGGACACACCAATCCACCAGTTCCCCAAGGTGAGAGGCAGATGACGTGTATCTCAGCCCCTCTTCATAGGCTCATAACTCCGGATGTGAGTCTCGTATGATCTCGTGATAAGATGGAATGGAAAGGGCGACTCTACAGATTCAGGAAGTGTTTGAACTGGATTTCTGAGCTGGATCATCACAAAGACACAGACACAGATATAGAGACAGAAGATCTGATGTGAGCTCAGGAACCCCAGAGGGTTCATTCTTGGGATCCATTTCTGAGCTGCTCAGTGTTTATATTCGTTGAACTGCAGCACATGTTGGTCTGCAACTGCGGTGCAGCAACTGTCTCATTGTTTGTTGTTGGGCGAGGAGAGTAAGAGCACACTTTACATTGCAGTGCATGCTGGGGATTGTAGTGCTTTGTCAAATGGGCTAATATTAATAGAACCAGATAGGATTGTGTCATGCATCATGCATGTTCTGTGTTATGTATTGTTGATTATGTATTGATTGTAAAGCGTCCTTGAGCATGGGAAAGTGATGATGATGATGAGGGTAAAGTTCAGCTCCTCACTGCTGGGCTTCGGGTACATTTAGGGCATCATATGCCTTCAAAGAGGGGGGCAATTATTTATTATCACCCACCTCTAATTCTTCAGTGATATGAAGCTGAAGTCAGTTTTTTTTCCACCAGCTTCTCTTTCGAATTTTCCCGTTCCACCTTAAATGGAGCAGCAGTTACATTCTGGTGCTTCAGGCGTCAGAACTGCTGGGCTATTTAAGGTGGAACGGGAAAGTTAGCTACCAAGACGTCAGCATAGTACTAGCGATTTTTTATGCTTGTTATGAAGAAAACGACCATAATACACCGAAACAACATTAAACTAAGATAAAACAGTGGTTTTCGTAATTTTTTAACAGAGAAAATTCTCAAATTTGTGTGTTTCTTTGGTCTCTTACTCATCTTGCTGGTTTTTCTTTTTTTCTCATATCACTCTGTTTGGAGTGTCTGAAAAACCTCCGTTTGGAGGGTCGTGTAGCCCCAACACTTCACCCTACCCCTTTTATCTCAACAAGAATCAGGACACCCTACCCCTAGACGTGAACACGCAAAACGGAGGGCTAAGGGCTGAGTGTTACAGGCGAGGGGTGAAATGGGACTGGGCCCAGGAATGAAGTTGTAATAAACCAAACATCCAGGAATCATCATATTTTAAAAGTGGAGGTAAAATCTCAGGCAGAACAAATGTAAACAGATGATTACAGTATCTTATTTATCATTTTATTCAGTGAATTGTTAAAATACTGAATAAAACATCTAAAAGGCCTTTTGGTGGGTGGTTTGTAAAACTTAAACCCAACTTAAAATTAGTTATTTTTGATATAAAATAACAAAAACTGTTAATATGTCAACAGTGATTCAAGTCCTTTGTACTGAACTGCACTAATGATTGTGCTGCTAATGCTGCTGTTCTATTCAGACTCACTACGTAGTGTGGTTTGCGGTTTTGGACACAGCCAGTGCAGATCTTGAGGAGGATGAAGCTCATGAAGATCATGTTCCCAGTTCATCTCTCCTGTTTGCTCATTTCTTCGCTCTCTTTCTGTTTTGAGTGGCGTCTGAGGAGTGTCTGCTTTTCACAACAGCATTTAATTCAGTTTCAGTAAAAAGTCAGAGACTCCAGAACGCTGAGAGTTTAGGTCCAGTGCTTTTATGCACTCAGTACTTTGACTGAACTTTAATCTGCATGTTGACTCTTCGCTGTTTACTTTGATTTTGTTTTTGTTTTTCTCCTGATGTCACATTTGTAGCACTGAAATTTAAGCCACACTCTTTTACAGCTCAGTCTGATGGGTTTACGCTTTAAACTCAAACTCAATGCTTTTAATACCTGTTTAAGGGCAAATCAAACTATTTTCACCAATCAACAGTGCAAACTAATCACTCACTCGTTCACTTATTCACTCACTCGCTCATTGACTTATTCGCTCACTTACTTATTCACTCGCTCACTCATTCACCTGCTCGCTCACTCATTCATTCGCCCACTCACTCACTTATTCGTTCAACAAGACAAAAGCTTAGACAGTTCTGCCCCTGAGGAACCTAATAATGGGAACTGCTGTTTCACTATTAAAAACAATGAAATAAAACACAAACCTCAACTTTAGCACCACATTAACGTCTACTAACACACAAAAACAATGAAAAATCAAAGTAAGACATTACAAATAGAAAACAAAACCAAAGAGTTCTGGGTTTCTCTGCACCCGGTGCTACATTATTTACATTACTAAGATGGTGAGTTTCTGCTGTTTATTTAAGTTTGAGAATCGTGAACTCTGACACCATCATATCAGTCAATAAAGCGCAGTTCAACTAAACCTTCTCGAGAATAAAAATGACATTTAAAATACGAATGAGACTACGTTCTGTTAAATCAGCTGAGACTCACACAGTCTTCTCAGTTTCCCTCTTTATTTGTTTATTTATTTTTTAGTTTTCAGTGTTTAACTTTGATATCAGAACTTTTTTATCTCAGTAAAAAAAATGATCATTTTTAGATATTTAATAACCTTCACTGGTGGTTCTGGATAGTAAATAAAATGTCTATATTGGTGTTGTAGTCATGGCGACCCCTGGTTCCTATCACCACCACTGTAAAGACATCTGAACCATTTCACACCACTCTGAATCTCTCTGTTTACATCTCACACTGCAAAAATAATACTTTAATAAGTGAAAAGTCTTACATCTAGTCAATATATATAATATTTCTCATTAGTAGATTGCTGTAAGAATATTCTAAGATTATGGATCTTTTTTTTTCTTGTTTTAAGTCATTTTACTTGCTTTAAACATTGTTTATTTCTTAAAATAAGCAAAATGATCTGCTATATTATTCAAAACAAGTAAATGAAGTGTCAATGGAACAATAATGAGAAATATGAGATACTGACCACATTTAAGATACATTCACTGGCTAATTTCGCATGTTGTGTAGTGCAACAACTGAATCATGCAGAAATTTAAATAAATTGGTGGAATTTCCCTTTAAGGACTCACAGGAACCCTGACACTGTACTGTGTCTGTCTGGTCTTATGGATGTAGGTGGTTGTGGTTGATGTAGCATTACAGCACTGAGCTTGACTGAACTTGTTCTTGACTGTCAGAGTAAATCTGTTAATCAAGCTCCTCCCACCTTCACAGTGAGTGTCCTGCACCAGCCGCATGCCGGGGGGGCAATCGCACACGAAGCCCAGCGGCAGATCCAAACAGACGTGAGAGCAGCCGCCATTATTCACCTCACACTCATTCTGACCTACAGAGAGAGAGAGAGGGAGAGCGAGAGAGCGAGAGCGAGAGAGAGAGAGAGTGAGAGTGAGAGAGAGAGAGAGAGAGAGAGTGAGAGTGAGAGAGCGTGAGAGAGAGCGTGAGAGAGAGCGAGAGAGAGAGCGTGAGAGCGCGAGAGAGAGCGAGAGAGCGCGAGAAAGAGCGAGAGAGACAGATAGACAGAGACAGACAGATAGACAGACAGACAGAGAGAGAGATAGAGAAAGAGAAGAGAGAGACAGACAGACAGAGGAGAGAAACAGACAGACAGAGAGAAAGCGCAAGAGAGAGAGAGACAGACACGAGAGAGAGAGAGAGAGAGAGAGAAAGTGACAGAGAGACAGACAGAGAGAGGAGAGAGACAGACAGACAGAGAGAAAGAGCGCAAGAGAGAGAGAGACACACGAGAGAGAGAGAGAGAGAGAGAGAGACAGATAGACAGAGACAGACAGACAGAGAGAGAGATAGAGAGAGAAGAGAGAGACAGACAGACAGAGGAGAGAGACAGACAGACAGAGAGAAAGTGCAAGAGAGAGAGAGACAGACACGAGAGAGAGAGAGAGAGAGAAAGAGACAGAGAGACAGACAGAGAGAGGAGAGAGACAGACAGACAGAGAGAAAGAGCGCGAGAGAGAGAGAGAGAGAGAGAAAGAGACAGACAGACAGACAGAGAGAGAGAGAGAGAGAGAGAGCGAGAGAGAGAGACAGACAGACAGACAGACAGACAGACAGAGAGAGAGAGAGAGAGAGAGAGAGAGAGAGAGAGAGAGAGAGAGAGAGAAAGAGACAGACAGACAGACAGACAGACAGAGAGAAAGAGAGAGAGCGCGAGAGAGACAGAGATGGGTGGGGTTAAAGCCATAGTTCAGAGTGTTCATCCTGTTTATCCTCCTCACACCAAATGTAGTGAGTCAATCACTGAAGGCTGGAGCTACGAGGCTAATGTAGCTAACAAGTAATGGCAGTTTTTAGCATTAGCTAATTAGCACGGCGCTAACTGCATGTCTAAATCATCACTTGTTTCAGACCATGTGGATCACGGATCAGTGACCTCCAATAGACCGGATTTTGTTGTGTACACTAAAATGTGATTTAAAGGTGTATTTTGTTTCTACGCAAATGAAACATTAAATTAACATCAATAAAGTTAATTAAGTACTTTACGCATAGAAATCATGTTGATGTAACATTTCATTCAGGTGGATTCAAAGACCCTGGCGCCATAAAACCAGCTGTATGTCAGTAATAATGCTATAGTTTTCTGCAGAAGCGTTTTCGTGAGGCTTTCTTGTGGCGAAAATCAAACTTATACACTGATCAGCCATAACATTCTGACCACCTCCTTGTTTCTACACTCACTGTCCATTTTATCAGCTCCACTTACTATATAGGTGCACTTTGTAGTTCTACAGTTACAGACTGTAGTCCATCTGTTTCTCTGATACTTTGTTAGCCCCCTTTTACCCTGTTCTTCAGTGGTCAGGACCCCCATGGACCCTCACAGAGCAGGTACTATTTGGGTGGTGGATCATTCTCAGCACTGCAGTAACACTGATGTGGTGGTGGTGTGTTAGTGTGTGTTGTGCTGGTATGAGTGGATCAGACACAGCATATCTCACTATACCGGCAGATAATTTTGCTGGTTTCAAGCTCATTTCTTACAACAAGCACAATTATCTGCCAACATAGTGAGATCATTTTAAAGGTAAATAATCTTAAATTAAGCTTACAACAATCTCAACAGGAGAAATATTAGATTTATCGACTATATTTAAGATTATTTTACTTGACAAGAGACCATTTTTTCCAGTACGTCCTCCAAAACTGAACAACTTCGAACATTAAAACAGAAAATTTACAGAAAAACGTTTGCTTTTATGCGGTAATGTTGGCTGTTGGCTGTGACACACTGTATTCACTGAAGACAGCTGGACAGATGTTTACAATAAAAACAGAATAAAGGCTAAATTAAACATTTCGACATGTTTTCTACTCATTTCTGCACTGAAGCCGGGCTGTAAATCGAGTAGCCGCTCCCATCTCTGTCATTTACACTGAGGTTTCTTAACCAGTGTGAACTGCTCGTAAACCCTGGAGACGTCCAGTCAAACCGGTGTTGCCCCATCTTCTCATATAAAACTAATCTCGTTTGAATTGCGCTTAAGTCACACTGCTGTCAATAAACAACGGCTGAAGTACAGACAAAATTTTATAGGTAAGTGTGTCATACAGTGTCTCATGGCAGAATCTGTAACGGCAGCCTTTGGTGTGAAGAGCCGCTAACGGAGCCGCTTACCTGAACGGCTGAGCTGCTTCTTTCAGTGTCACTCGTCTGCCGCTGTGTGGTCACTCACAGTCTGAGTTAATGTTACTGAGAGAGCCGAAGGAACCGCCCAGACTCTCGGCGTAATGATAGCCTTTAGCCTTGATTTAGCCTTTAGCATAGCAGCCCGCTAGCCGGGCCTGTGCGTCCACTAGCCCTGCCTGCAGTGCACCTCCGTCGCTCAGCTGTATGACTCAGCAGCGGCGTCTCACGGCCCGTCGCTTCAACCAAGCCAGAAAAAACAGTTAAAGTCACTGATACTGACAGCGTGAACGATGGTGATCTTACCAAACTGACGCTCAGAGACACAGTGCGAGGGAACAAGATGCTCGTGTGAGACAAATGACCTGAGAAATTTGGATGTGAAACAACATTCAGCTCCGTTTTTGAGCCAGAGAAGCTGCTGTGTGCTGATGTGTAAACACCACCATGTAGCCAAGCTAAGTGTGTTTTATTTGTAATGCAGAACACAGTTTTTACCAAAATAAAATATTTTAAAATGTAACTATATAAATATCAGGACTTATAGGTGAGTTAGGTTAGACAGAGTTAGTACTGGTGTCTGTACTCGGTATCGGCCAGTACTTAAAGATCAGGTATCAGTATTGGTAGGGAAAAAGTGATATTGGTGCATCTCTAAAAAGTACTGAGGCACAAGAAACAAAAGGTAGAGATGGGACATTTATAGGCTGTTACATCGGGAGGAGGAGGGGCTTCAGACATGCTTCAGTGTTTCCATAACTCCACTGCTTAAAGCCCCGGGGAATCTAAATCCGTGTTTTCTTTCTAAGCAGATTAATCTTGCTCTTGTGGGCTCACACTACAAAGTCCACTTTCCATGTACAGTCATGTGCAAAAGTTTGGGAGCCCTGGTCAAATGACATGTTCTGTCCTCTGCAGAGAACATAATTTAATGCACCATTACTGTTTATGTGCTGTGTTACGTCCTGTTATGACATGTTCTGTAATGTTAGTTGAACTTGTTACTTGTCTGGCGTTGCACCTTTCTCTGTTCCTCTGTCTGTATCTTTCAGACTGACGTTCCAGTCTTGGGAGTTGGTGTAGCGCAGGAGGTCACGTATGATTGAGCCCGGTGGTTAATTGACACTGAAAAGGCCCAGAACAAAGAGCAGTAGCTGCGTTGGGTGTTTCAGTCTGGCAGCAGACGCCTCACAGTCGCAGTGGTTTGGGCTTGTTGTTCTTTAGTGTAGGTCAGAGGTCACAACCCAAATTAAGAAGAGCTATTTTGTCCTTTTAATGAAAATTACACCACCATGGGAACCACAACCTTTATGTCCATTTTACCCTCTTGGCTGTAAATGTCTCAGTGTGTGCTGATGTGCTAAAGTTGGCCAAAAATCTAATATAAACAAAACCACAGACTCACTTTGCTCTGCTTTAAGCTTTAGCTCAGCTATAGCTGCTTTTCTCGCATCTCCAGCAGGAAACTTTTCAGCTAAAGTAGAACAGTTTCTTGTAAAATGTCTCTCAACATTCAACTTTTTACGAGGCTGAAGTCGCTTCTCGTTCTCCAGCTTCTTGTTTGAATTCTCCTGTTGCACCTTAAATGGTGTCTGAGGCACCAGAACTTAACTGCTGCACCATTTAATGTGGAACGGAAAGATTTGAATAAGAAGCTGGCGAATGAGAATCTGACTTCAGCTTTGTGACTTTTTAGTGTTTCAGTTTCTCGTTGCAGATTAAACGTATCAGGAAACCAGCTGGAGTGATTATAAATGCAAATAAGTCCATTCGTCTGAAATTATTGATGTTCATCTTAAATCTCTCTCTCTGCCGTTTCGTTAGCTACTAGCTAGGCGAGACTGTTGTCTGTGTTGCTATGGTGACCAGCAGTCTGCGCTGATCTTCAGGGTTAAAGGGTGAATTAGCAGTTCTACATTAACTCCAGAGTTTAAGACCATTTATTGTTAAACTGTGTTGAACGATCAGCAGAGCTTTATTTTACTGTAAAGGAGGATTATTTTATTTTTACCTACAAATCTGATTCTGCTGTGGAGCCACAACAGGGCAGTAAAAGAGCCGCATATGTTGCCGACCCCTGGGTTAGATTATTAGCCTTGTTGATACTCTGACGCTGTATCTCCTGGTGACTGAAGCTGTGGTTACTATATGCTCATGTAAACTTTAAATAAGGGGCAACTTTTTGGCAAGAAAGACAGAAAATTCAGCTGTTACAACATCCACTTTTAAAGTCAAAAAGCTGTGTTTTCTCTTTTTCTTGCCAAAAGGTACTGGGAAAAAAAATGAACAAGAAATGTGGCCTGTGCAAAAGTTATACTGTATATTTTTGTCCCCCCCCCAATATGTTAAATTCAGCAAAAAATTAGAAATTGTGCACTAAAGTGTCATATTTCAGTGTGTTCTCTGCAGAGGATGTGTTAACTTAGTAACTTGGAAAATCAACAAAGCATGTAATTTGATCAGCGGTGCTCAAACTTTGTACTCTGTAGTTCTACAGTTACAGGCAGTAGTCCAACCGCTTCTCTACATACTTTGTTGACTCAACAGAGCAGGTACTATTTGGATGGTTGCCCATTCTCAGCACTGCATTTCATTCTCCTTTCTCAGCACTGATACACTACCTATTGAGTTGTACTGCAGCTTAAACGCACTTAAACGCATTTTAAATTATATTTCAATAATAATAATAAATTAGAGTCCACTTATTATTAAACATATTTAAGAATACACTTATATAGCAATGTATTATTTATACAATTACAATCATAAAATCTTTTATTTTGGTAAAATCTATGTTCTGTATCACAAATAAAACACAATCAGTTTGGGTAGATGGCTTTTACTTGTTGGATTATATTTATTATATGCTTAAGAAAAGGTATTTGTTTATTTACTGTATATAATTAGTAATAAGAATCATGTTTCTAGCAGGCTGCTAGGCTAAAGGCTAAATCAAGTCTAAATGCTATCATTATGCCGACTGTCCTGTGGTTCCTTCCACTTTCTCAGTAACATTAACTCAGACTATGAGTGACCACACAGCAGCAGACGAGTGATCACTAAAAGAAGCCGCTCAGCCGTCCAGGTAAGCGGCTCCGTTAGCGCGTTCTTAACACCAAAGGGTGCCGTTACAGATTCTGCCACGCGCGTTTTTACTGCTGCTTGTTGTCCCACACAGCCAACTACTGGTGCAAATGCACGCTTTAGAAACTGCTTTGTGGTGTCAGTCACAGGTATCGGTATCCCCATCACCGATACCGATTTAAGTGTCACTATTATCCACCTTTTAGATGTAAAATTAGAGACGATAGCTCATCAGCTGCTGAACACGGTTATATACAAATAACCAAATATATGTACATAAATATGAAAATTTCTTACTGCAATTGTCTTCGTCACTGCCGTCCTCGCAGTCTCTGGAGTGGTCACACCTCCATGAGTGTGGCACGCACTGTCCATTAGAGCAGCTGAACTCAGGGCTGCTACAGGACTTTGGTTTTCCTGGTTTTGCTCCTCCGCACTCCTCCAGTCGCTCGTCGGCTCCATTCGGACAGTCCGGCCAGCCGTCACATACCACGGAGAGAGACACACAGCTGCCGGAGGAAGAATGGTGGACCCCCTCTGCAGTGCAGGTAAACTCCTCCAGACTACACCGTCCTACACCTGCACACATACAAACATCCCAAACAACAATGTAATATACTCTACCCTACACTGTATTACACTACACTAATATTCTCTGTACTACACTAATAGTACACTGTGATAATCTCTATACTACATTGTAATATACTGTACACCACACTAAACACCACATTGTAATATTATATACAGCACAGTAATATACTGTACACCACACAGGAATATACTGTACACCACACAGGAATATACTGTACTCCACACTATCTATGAGGTACAAACTGCAAAGTGCCAGGACAAAGATAAGACCGATTAGACCAAACAAAGACAGTTTGCATGTCCTGTAGAGCCACAGTAAGAGACACAGCCCAGACTCAGTTTAGTTTACAGCCAATAGACAGGTGCACACTGTATGAAACTCTTTACATTTTGATTGACATTTTTTTGTGTCATAACTACTCACAACTTTTTAAAAAGAAAAAGTGTTACTACTTTTTTGCCCTCATTGTTTTTAAATTATACACACATGGCAGCACTTTTGCAATTACTGTATTCTTTCACGCTGCACTATTAGGAGTAAATTCATGTTAGGCACATTTGTGTTTTATCAGTTGGGCCCATATTATTTGAATTATTTTGTTGCTGTCGAGACAAAACCTCATATCTTCATGTTTGTCGCTTTCCATTTTTGACATAATTTAAAAAGGCCAGTTGCCCTTTATGATGCGTCAAAATTTCACAACGAATGGACCAACAGAAATGCTCCAAAACCACTTGGAAAAAAATATTTCTCCATTTACTTCCATTAAAAGGTAAGACTGTTTATCCTTTTCCTGTAAAGTTGCCTTTTTGGAGATAGGAGGTTTTGCTCCGACAACAGCGATTCGAATTTGAATATTTAAAAAAAGCTGAATTTTCATCTTTTCATGATTATTTCTGAAAAAAAAAAACTGTAGAACATCAAGAGCAACATTTTAATAAACCAAATGTGGTGATAAAAATCTGGGAAACATAATTATAAAGAGACAGACAGTAAGATGCCTCATAAATAATGTTACCTCACAGTATCTTATTTATGGTCTCCATGATTTAACTTCCCCAAAAACGAAGTATTGCTTAAAACATCTAAAATGTACCGTTCAGTGTCTAATTTACAGCATTTTAAATCCACACTGCATAAACTACAGCAACAATTAATGACAAGTGATCCCAAACCTTTGAAAGTAGTGTACGTCGTCTCAGAGCTTTTATATTTCACAAATTCATTATTCTCTGTTATACCTCTATTATGTTGTACCTGTCTCTTCAGTACTGGGTTGTTTATGTTTGCATTTGCTTTGATCATAAACATGAACACACCTAACAGCTACCTGGGAAAGAAGAGAACAGCTACATGTGAGAAGAAGAATGCAAATGGACACAAGCTTCACAGAATATACACCTAACACCCACCTGGAACATTGTGGGTTTCCTGCTTAAGGTGAGAAAGGTGAAGGAGCAGGTAGGGAGTAAAGTGTCTGTCCATATGCTCTCAAAATAAATGCAAATGCACAAAAACATCAAATAAATGTTCTCCTAACATCCACCTGGAACATCGCGGGTCACCAGGTAAAGGTGAGAAAGGTGAGGGAGCAGGTAGGCACTCGTGTGTCTGTCCATATGCTCTCAATTTCTAAGAAAACTAATACAAATAGACACAAACTTCATAGAATGCTTTCCTAACACCCACCTGGAACTTTACGGGTCACCTGTTTAAGGTGAGAAAGGTGAGGGAGCAGGCAGGGAGTAAAGCGTCTGTCCATATGCTCTCAAACTGTAAGAAAACCTATAAAATGGACACAAACTCTCCTTGCTCATGCTCTCCTTACATCCACGTGAAACACTGTGGGTCACCTGGTCGAGGTGGGAAAGGAAAGGAGCAGGTAGGGCATGACGTGACCTGTCCATATTCCCTTAATTTATGACAAATTTAATGCAAATAGACAAAACTTCAAATAAAATGTTCTTAACATCCTCCCGGAACATTGTGGGTCACCTGGTTAAGGTGGGAAAAGTGAGGTAGAAGGTAGGCATTCGTCTGTCCATAGGCTCTTAATTTTCTTGTGGGGCACCAGGTAAAGGTGAGAAAGGTGAGGGAGCAGGTAGGCACTCGCGTGTCCGTCCATATGCTCTCAATTTCTAAGAAAACTAATACAAACAGACACAAACTTCACAGAATGCTTTCCTAACATCGTCCCGGAACACTGCGGATCACCTGGTTACGGTGGGAAAGGTGAGGGAGCAGGTAGGGAGTGATGCGTCTGTCCATATACTCTGAATTTGTCAGAAAATTAATGCAAATGGACACAAACTTCACAGAATACTCTCCTAACGTCCACCTGACACTTTATGGCCAACCTGGTTAAGGTGGGAAAGGTGAGGGAGCAGGTAAGGAGTGATGTTTCTGTCCATGTTCTCTTTTCTTAATGAGAAAATGAATCTAAATGGACACAAACTTCACAGACGCTCTCAGTCTCAGTCCAGCCTGCAGACTCGCAGCTCTGCCATTCATTCCGCAGCAGTGAACTAGGATGGGCTCTGGGCTCTGAGCCATGTGCTGCTGCTGTTTGACAGCTCTGCTCTCAGCTCGGCTCTAAACTCAGCTACAGCGCCCACCCTGCAGCCCCGCTGAGCGAACACCACCGCAGGAGGATGGTGAAACGCGTGTTTACCTGATGCTGAGGAGTTTAAGCGCAGAAAGCCGGTCACCCACAGCAGAAACCCGAGCAGCTCCATGCTTTACTACACCGACCTCTACCAACTATCGCGAGAATATGACGCTGCGAGAGCGCGTCACGAACCGAGCGCTTGTTCCCTTCGTAGGGAATCACTATCTAGGGAACTAAAATAAGGGCACAAGAGAACGATCGATTTTTTGTCTTTATTAAATAATTACGGCAACATTACACATTTAAACACGCCTAAATGCAAGAAATGATTAAAAATGACAAACAACAAATAACAGTACAAGTAAACAAAATATATTATATATATTATATTAAGTACAAAAAAGGAGGGAAAAGAACAATTACTGTTTCAAGTTTATTTGTCATTTGCACAACATATCAGGACATTCATGCATTGAAATGCTTGTGGCGAGGCTCAGATAATCACTCTACAGAAGTAAACTAAGTAAAAATAAAAATATAAACATAATACTCAAACTGAAGTATATTAAATATACACAAAATATAGAGACGGGGGAGCTATGTAAGGGGTGGGGTGCATATATTACATTAAAGCTTTTTTTTTTTAAATGTACATTCTTTGTGTTGTTAATCATTCTGAATTTGAGACTCTACTGAGATTTAATTCTTAATAATTGTCACAGAAAACAGCAAATTTGGGTATTTTTTAAAGCTCTGTGAAGGTAAAATGTGGCAGAATTTGACAGAAAAAAAATCCAGTGATTAAGAGATTTACTTTTGTTTTCATATCCAAATTTATGTGAGATGAAGAATTAAAGGCTCAGCTTCTTCCTAAACATTACATTTGCCAGTTAATTTCTGGGTTGAGCGACATGTTTCGGTGCAACAGAGCCTGATTGGCTGTTCACAGTTCACAGTTTTACTGTTAAAGGATTGCAGCCCCTTTTGACTGTTGAGTCTCCCTGGTTTAGGTGGGAGACGCAGGATAGATCATACGTTTTATCCCTCTATGACAAACCTGTAACAGTGGCTACAATAATGTGTTTATAAATACGTTTTTCTCTGTGTTTTTATTTATTCAGAGAGATGATAAAAGCATTAAATCCAAAATATCAGCCCCATCCAGAGATATGCCATCAAACACACTAATACCTGCCTGGTATGCAGCAGAAAAAGACCATGATAATAATTATTCCTTTTTTGTATTTTTTTGTCACAATTAGAAAAAAGTTGTCATTTTGAAAGTATCGTATTGGTATCGGTATCGAATATTTTCAAATGATACCCAGCCCTAGTCGCAATCCAAATGTTAAAAAAAGCCATTTTGTCCCATTTCAAAAAAATTATAGGCACTTTGGGAGCCACAACTTGCTAATACTATGTGAAAAAAGTTAGAATTCCCAACTTACATTTATCAAAACGATACTTAACATTTTTCTTTATGAAACTGATCATTATACTCACTCACCAGTGTTCTCTAATGGGTTGTTTGTTCTTAGATAAGAACAGAATCTACACTCAAGAGCACAAAGGTGAGAACAGCTCTGCGCTTTAAGAACACGCAGACATTTTCTTAGAACCTTTATCAAGAACACACCTAAGAACAAACCGAGGGAGATACTGGAGAATCAGGCTCATTGATCATTCAAAACGACTGCTAGAGGCACTGTTGGTACCAAGGGCTGTTCCCCTTCAACCCCAGGCCTCCAACATAATATTATGAATAAAAAGAAATATTTTAATACCAGCTAAACACTTTCACTAATAACTGTTTTAAGTTCTCAAAAGATGACAAAAAGGAAAGAATCTTCAGACGCTGAGTTTGTGGAAGAGGGAAAAAGACTTCTTCTTTATTTCAGCGTCAGGTGGCACAGAAAGAGAGAGACCCAGCTGCACAAATACAGTGATCCAAACAACAGTTTATACCATTTATCTGGGGTAGTTTGATATCCCCCTCCTTACTTTTCTAAATTTTGCTATTAGCTTATTCTCTAATAGGTGCATCTCTTCATCTGTCAATTTGGCCATCACATGATGAGCTCACTTATAAAAACTGGTTTCATCACTGGTTTTTTACCAGCCTGCTTTACCTTTTAAGGTCTGTCTGTTTATGATTTTAGATCTGCAGATTCTGACCTTCTACAAAAACCCTCAGTAAAACACAGAAAACGTGGAGAGACTCTTTCAGTTATTCTGCTTCTAAACTGTGGAGCTCAGTTCAGCTTTTATTAGACAGTCGAGCTCAGAGCTCACTTTTAATAAACATTTGAAAATGCAGCTCTTTAACTCAGCGCTTCATTAAAACTCTACGTCTCGTGGTTTTTATCTTCTAATTTGATCTGTTTCATCTTCTTCTGATTCTAAATAAATACTAATGATTTCTTGTATAAATATGTTTTATCACCTGTCTGTAAAGCACCCTGAGCTGCCACCGGCATGAAAAGTGCTCTATAAATAAATTAATAAAATAAATTATTATTAATGATTAATTATTATTAATGATTAATTCTGATTATTATTATTATTATTTATTAACTTGCACCTCTCTTCACTGAGTCAGTAAGTACACACAGGACTGTCTGTGAACCCAGGGGCGTTCCAGTGTCTAGAATCTCCTATGCAGACAGACTAAGGCCGACCCTTTGTTTTTGGAACTTATTATTTATTAAAGGATCACAAAAAGACTCACAACTTTGCAGTCAGGCCACAGTAAGTCAGGTGTATACATACAGACATACATACATAAACACTGCTGGTCACATATACGTCAAAATCTAACAACAGACTTAACAAAACAATAACCTGGGTGGAAGGGAGGAGATGTAGTGGAATCAGGATTGATGCCTTCTACCTATTTAAATTTAATTATACCATATCTTCAAACCATTATTGACATTGCTGGTCTCCATCTTTTGATAAATTTCTGTGTCTGTAATCTCAAATTGTGTGTTATTTCTTCCATATTATGTAGTTCCCAGAAACGCTGAATCCAGGACTCATTTGTTGGAACAGGAATTTTCAGCCAATTAACAGTTATACCCTTAATGGCTGCTGCTAATTAAATTTGGAGAAGGTAGATTTGGCACCTATTATCAAATCCCCGAGGGACAACTCCTAGCAATGACATTAAAGGTTCTTTAGGGATTGGAATACCGAAGACAGAGTTTAGAGCATTGTAGATATCCTCACAATACTTCCTCAGTTTTTCACATCACCAAAACATATGAACAATGTTCACTTCGGTTTCCCCACAATTCCTCCAGCAACTGCTTGATGAAGATGAGCCAGTCCTCTTGGTTATATATGGTGTTCTGAAGTTCTGAAGTTATTAGTAATAAGCTTCCATTTGAATTCCCTCCAGCTACTAGAGCAGGTAATTAAAAGGCTGACGCTTTGTGAGAAAATTCATATTCTCCTATTTGGTTATTGATTACAATATCTATTTGATTACTGATTAAGGGAATATTTATTCAAAATCTCTGTCATTTTCTCCCTTTTCACGGTTCACTGTGAACGTTATAATTGATTAATGTGTTTAACATACCAAACAGAGAGTAATGCTGAATAACATATTATAAATGTTGAATGAGTAAAATAACATCAAAATAAGTGAAGATTAATGAATAAAATCAAAGAGTAAATAGTTAAAAACAAAAACAAACCAAAAATCAAATCAAATAGCAAAGTAATTCAAAGTAAAAGAAAAACCCAAAAGAAAAACAAAATAAAAATCCGAATCGTCATTTCCCTCCTTAAATGATCATTGTGTATTGGGAACCTGTCAGGCAGTGTCAATTATACTGCTAAACTCACTACAAATGTATTAGCCTGATTATTGGTCTGGTGAACTTTCTGCATAGGGAGGGTCTCACTGGTTATAAAGCTCCTCAGAACTATAATACAGGATCTATAAGTCCCAAATACCAGGTGTCCCAAGAAAGCCAATAAGCCCAAAAACCACTCTCACTGGGTGGTGAGTCCAGCACAGTTTGGTGTTCTTCTGCTAAAGCACTCCAGATTCAGTCCATCAGTCATCAGGTGTGGATCTCAGAAACTCATTTTTATTGGAGCAGTGCAGGTTCAGATAAACAGTGGCTGTGCAAGAACTGGAACAGGTGGTGCCAGGTGAATGTTTTTTATGGGTGAGGTGGCGCAGTTAACAAACCCAAAGTCATGAAATGTTACACACACTGGAAGAGAAGACAGAGAGTTACACACTGCAGACCCAATAACAAAAGCACTGAGGAGTTAATGAAACAAACAGTGTTATTTTAGGTCACTGATACATTCTGTTCCTGATGTGGCCATTTAGCTGACTTACCATTAAGCTTCTGTGTGATTTATTATAAAATACAATATTTATGTACAAAATAAAAATCGGCCAGTTTTCATTTCAGACCATTGTTCAGAGATGCAGAATAAAACATTTTTTAAAAATTAAAACTGTTTTATTTTATTTCTTTGAAAAAATTCAGTAACTTTTTCTGACAAAAACTTGAATTAATTTTGCCATCTCGAAGTAAGACGTGAAAAACTGTGCAGGGCTACAATTTGATCAAAACATATTACTCTTTCTAAGTTTCAATATTCAAAATTATTTCATTAAATTTGTAAAAATCATACTTGTTTATTGTTGTCCATAATTTCTACATGTTTCAATTAAGATTTAAGTCCCCTTGGGGCTCCGGAGTGGCGCGACCGTCTAAGCGTTGGTCCTATCATCAGAAGATCACGAGTTCCTTCTCCCCCCATCACTTAACGCGATGCTAGTCAGCGCAGGCGTCTGTTAGCTGACGTAACAGATCTGGCGGTTGGCGCTTTCCTCCGAGCGCGTTCAGCTGTCCGGTGACGTTGCGTGAGCAGCAGCTCGAAAAGATGCGGTGGTTGGCTTCACAGGTCTCGGAGGAAGCCTGTGTTAGCCTTCACCCTCCTAGCGCTGACAGTATCGTGTGATTGGGGGAGTCCTAACTAGCGGGTGGAATTGGAGACGACTAAATTGGGAAAATCAGGTTAAAAAAAATGATTTTTTTATTTCACCCCAGCATGATAAACAAACATGCTGAAGAACCTGTCCCACCCCATGCACCGCTCTCTGACAGCACTGAGCAGCTCCTTCAGTGCCCGGCTGCGGCACCCGCGGTGCGTGAAGGAGAGATACCGCAGGTCCTTCCTCCCAGCTGCTGTCAGACTCTATAACAGTCACGGCACTCAGTAGACAGTAGTTTACAATTACTTTCCATGTGCAAGAACTCTCAACATCACTGCCACAGCACTTTACTGTGTGCAATATCTCAACCCACCATGCGTAGTATATTCACTGCGGATCACTGTCAACATGTTTAACACCATTATGTGCAATTATGTCAAGTGCAATATTTCTCCATTTATTTACTGTTTATTTATTTGCTATTTTATTCACTGTGCAATACTCACTACAATACATACATTTCTACATTTCTAAATTTAAATTTAATACTTAGTATATTTTTCTTTTAATCTTTGTACATATACATATATATCTTTATACTTTTATTGTTTATTCTATTTTATATATTGTTTGTATATTTCCTGCTGCTCTGTCTTCTGTGCTGCTGTAACACCACAAATTTCCCCGTTGTGGGATTAATAAAGGATTATCTAATCTAATCTAATCTAATTAAAGTCCGCTTGAGTAAAATCTACAGACCGCATTTTAACCTCACGATTATTGTTTCATTTCAACCGGACTGTGCATCTATTTTCAACATCTTTAAAAAATCAGTTCCCATAAACACATGATCAAGTCATAAATCTAGGATTTAAATTAAATTCTAATTAAAAGTAACTTCCAAAGGTCACCAATTAAAAATTTTTAAATTCTCTGATACCACCTCTTCTTTTTTTTCCTTTTTATCTCCTTTGTCAGTTTATCGATTTGCTCCTGCATCTCTGCACTTTTCTTCCAAAAGCCCTCTTGCATCAACCGTATCTGCTCCTGAAACAATGAAACATAAAACATGGGCTGATAGTGAGTCAATCCCATTCATGATTTCTGGGTTTTCAGTTACATTTCAAAGATTTTGTTGTTTGTTTATTGTTATAATACATGCTGTGTGTTTATTGTGTCAGTTGTGCAGGACTGTTTGATATTAAGAAAGCTGCAGTCATGAGAAAGCTTTGTGGAGAGGTGTGTATAGTTTTTCACAGCAGGGGTTCTCACTCTTCCCCTTTCACCCCTCATTGCTCGCTAGCAGCTCAACAACATTTCACACACCGAGACAACAGAGTCCTAGTTCATCTGATAACAGAGTTATGAGGAAGAAATATTTTATTTTATTATATTAATGAAAAATCAATTTTCATTTCACCGGTAGAATGAGCTGTAGAATGAAGAACATTCATTCCTTCAAACATTCCGGATGTCAGTATTTCAAGACTGAAGTCACTATCATTATACACACTAGCGTGATTCCAAAAAATTAATCTGATTTCAAAACGATTTATTTCTCTTGTAAATCATTACAGATCAGTGCAGTGAACTGTAAATGGTTTAAATGAGCATAAAGTTTATTATGTAATTGTAGAAGGTCTCAGTCTGAACCTCCTCCAGCTGTACAGACAACATCAACACCATAGTCAAACTCATCACATACTGGATTAAGCGTGTCGGGTGTCGCTGCACTCACGGCTCTTTCAGTGCGATTTCGGAGATCATCCAGTGTTGTGGAACCAACGCCGAACGCTCTGAGCTGTTGGAGCTTCACTGCCCACGAAAATCACACTGCACAGTTATGACGGATTCACTCTTATTGAAGTGGAGAACGCAGAACGCTTTCTGCTCAGGGGTCTCATCTCCTCTCAGACTGAAGGGAGCCATCTTCCACTGACAGTCAGAAACTCTATGACCCCCTCTTTCAATTGGATTGTGATTGGTTCCTCAGTGCCTCACGGTTGTAAAAATATGGCGCTTTGAAATCGGATTAATCTTTTTGAGTCACCCTATATTACACAAGTGCCTCTGTGAGTGCGCTGCCAAGGATGCATTAAGAAGGTAGAGGTACCATAACTACTTTAGCATCTGTTAGTTAAAATAATAAAAACATATTCACATCATTCAAAGGCGTCAATCACTACTCAAAACCGTGAGTAAAAACCCTCACTAGTAGAGTAAAGTAGAGTCCTCACCATCTGCTGCTGCACTGGTCAGCTCTAGTGTTAGTGGAGGTGCATTAGCTTATCTATTACGTATCATTGTTGGACTCGAAAACCTGCCAGTTTACCACACAGTGACCAAAAGATTTCCAGCGGCTCTTTTAAAATAATAAAACTTTTTCAAATGTTACATCTATGTGACGTCTGCTAGATTTTACTTTGTGCTACTGATTTTTAGTCTGCTCGCACAAAACATTGGATCACACAAGCCTAGAAAGCATTTAACCTTTATGTGACCCGATGTGTCAGTCTCAACAGTAGAATAGACTGGAGTAGATTTATGGCTTCATGACAAAACCCCTACTAGGCAGTCTGGGGGAGAAAAAATATCCCTAAAATATCTGTCAGTAAATTAGTAGCAGTAGGTGTAAAATCAAGGTGTCACGTAGTAGATCAGTCTTTTTATAGACTGTCTCAGGGACAGATCTAATAGGACTTAAAGCTGCACTGTACAAGATATTCTTTCACATTCTCAATCTGAAAACAAACAGCTGAATTATCTTCGTGATGAAGGCTCGTTCTGCTGGTTAGCTTGATGTTCATGATGCATGTGGTTCATTAATATGAAGTTATTGATTAGGATGTGCGCGTGCAGGTCGTTTCATTAATTACAGGTTTGGGTCACTTACCTACACGAATGAGAACCATCGAGTCAGAAAGATTGGATCAGAGCAAAAATTCAGATTTGAGCTATGAGGCTTGTAATGTGAATGCAGCCAAAAAGAAGCGAAGGACATTGGCCAACTCTGACCAGCAGTGACCAGAAATAACTGTGGCAACACTCTACAAATCACCGCATGGCAACCGTCTCTAAGCACTAATACCTTCAAGGGTCTTTTATCAATAAGTAGTTACCTGATGTAAAGCTTGCTGTGTTCGCCTAAATTGCTCCTCTGAACGTTTCCTCTCTTCTTCCATTTTCTTCTTCAGCTGCTCGATGTGTTCCTCGTGGGATTTCTTCTGATCTTGAATCAGCTGCTCCTGGAATTTCTTCTGTTCTTCTAGTTGTCTGTTCTGCTGCTCCAAAGCCTCTTTCTGACGCTTTTCCTCTAGAAAGAAAGATGAACAGGCATGGGGAGGTTTAAACAGCTCCACAAAATAGCCTCTCCATTTATCTCTCTAAAGGCATTATTAACAACCATCAAACAAACAAACGAGCTCAGCGCCGCCCTCTAAAGGCGTCATCAACAAACATCAAACAAACGTCGCTCAGCACCGCCCTCTAAAGGCGTCATCATCAAACATCAAACAAATGTCGCTCAGCGCCGCCCTCTAAAGGTGTCATTAACAAACATCAAACAAACAAACAAGCTCAGCGCCGCCCTCTAGAGGCGTCATTAACAACCATCAAACAAACAAACGAGCTCAGCGCCGCCCTCTAAAGGCGTCATTAACAACCATCAAAAACAAACAAACGAGCTCAGCGCCGCACTCTAAAGGCGTCATTAACAACCATCAAAAACAAACAAACGAGCTCAGCGCCGCCCTCTAAAGGCGTCATTAACAACCATCAAAAAAACGTCGCTCAGCGCCGCCCTCTAAAGGCGTCATTAACAACCATCAAAAAAACGTCGCTCAGAGCCGCCCTCTAAAGTCGTCATTAACGACCATCAAACAAACAAATGTCGCTCAGCGCCGCCCTCTAAAGGCGTCATTAACAACCATCAAATAAACAAACGAGCTCAGCGCCGCCCTCTAAAGGCGTCATTAACGACCATCAAACAAACAAACGTCGCTCAGCGCCGCCCTCTAAAGGCGTCATCAACAACCATCAAATAAACAAACGTCACTCAGCGCCGCCCTCTAAAGGCATCATTAACGACCATCAAACAAACAAACGTCGCTCAGCGCCGCCCTCTAAAGGCGTCATCAACAACCATCAAATAAACAAACGTCGCTCAGCGCTGCCCTCTAAAGGCATCATTAACAACCATTAGATAAACAAACGTCACTCAGCGCCGCCCTCTAAAGGCATCATTAACAACCATCAGATAAACAAACGTCGCTCAGTGCCGCCCTCTAAAGGCATCATTAACAACCATCAGATAAACAAATGTCACTCACTGCCGCCCTCTAAAGGCATCATTAACAAACATCAAACAAACGTCGCTCAGCGCCGCCCTCTAAATGTTTTATTATCAAACATCAAGCAAACAAACAAGCTAATAGCTTTAGAAAATAATTGTGGTCAGCTCAAATAATTTTAAAAGTTTAAATCAATTGCAATCTGGTTAATATGCAATAATCGTGACAGACTTAGTAAGCAGTTCTTGACCATGCTAAGTAATGAAACTGGAAGTCTTGCGAGACTAACAGTCGTGTGTTTTACCCTCTGTCTTCTGCTCAGCTTCACTGAGGGAGCGGTCAGCTGCAAGAATGTTCCCTCCCACTGCACTCTTCTCGGCCAGGTAATTCGACAGTACCTCCTCAAGCTGAGAAGAACACAATTAGGATATAAATGTTCAAGTAAGATATTTTAGAGGTAATACTAGGGCTTGAATTGATATGAATGTTTCAGTTGTTATTATTATTACGAAAATGTGTTAGTGGCTAAATTGCAACTCACCATAGGTCCGTGGCCTTTCTCTGACCTGTACTGCTGAACTGCTTCCTCCAGGGCACTGCAGTACTCTGTGTAGCCTCCAGGCTGCATGTAAGTACCTTCCTTCACTGCCTCCTCCAGAGGACAGAACACCCGAGAAATGATAGACCCGCATGCTTTGCGGGATTCTTCCATATTCCGTTTAACAAACTCCTCATACTCCTTCTTAAGGCATTTCTGAGGATGAAAAATGAAAAAAACTATGTTTATGTTAAATTTAACCCTCTTTTGCATGCATGGCAAAATGTTTGCTTCACTTTTCCCTCACAAAATGTATCTGATTATTAAAATACAAAACATTTTTGTTAATAATGTGTACAGGGGTCCTTGTGAAATATGTTGCCTTGAGGCAACATTGTGCAACAATGGAAAGAAATAATACAGAGTATCATATGGAACACAGTATTATACATATTTGAAATGACACCAAGTCCAGAGACAATTTTCTGATCTATAATACTAAGAATTCTTCAAAGAGGAATGAATTTTGTTTCATATTGTTTCAGTAAAACTATGTTATCATAATTTAACACTGACATAATTTTTCAATTTCTTGCACAGCAAACAGTTGTTTAAAAGCAAAACATAAAAACAATCAAGTCATTTTCAGAATTGATTCAGAATTCTGTAAATAAAACGTGGTTTTAGAAAAATATACTGTATGTTGAGTGTTACATCGCAGAATTGGCTAGAATAGGCTTCTAGTCACTAATACTGCATATACATTAAATGTTAAATATTTTTATTGAATACATTAAATAGTACATAAAAATGTACTAAATAAATAATAATTCTGTCATCTCAAGTGGCAGCATAAGAAACACTTGGCTGGCTTCTGGCTATATCCATTCCAGTGTCAGATAATGTTGCTTTTAGGCAACAAACATATTTCAGCAAAAAATACCATCACATAATATGTAATTTATAAGACACTGAATATTACAAAAATGGTCTTCACACTTATTAACCCTATTTTGGGATGAAATAAAAATGATAAACCTATTTTTCCTGAGGGATGCCATCCTGTGCAGCTTGCCAAAAAGAGGTTAAAATGCCAACAGGGAGGCGGAGCCAAGTGCAGAGAGGAAAACCCATGAAAAAGGGTCTTAAATGAATTTAATGAGGTGATGGAATGTGAATTTGGTGATTGTACTGAGTACTCAAACAAAGGCTGAGATAGAAAAGTGAAATACTGTAAAAGATAATCAGAAAACAAAAGACACTTTCTCTGTAATTATGAGAGTATGGTCAATTTTATGTTTCACCTGTTTGCCCTTTTTGCACCTGTTTAAACTTATTTTATGTCTTGGAGTTGTTTCTTTTTCAAGCCTTCTTTTTGGGTTTTTAAGTAGTTTTGGGGCAATTTCTCTCTTTTGTTTTTCCAGCTCTCTTTTCTTTACTTTTCTTTTCTTTTCTTTTTGTTTAAATACCCACCTGGGCTAAGTACCGTACCGGTCACCCCTCTACAAAGGTGTGACAAAGGGCTGGTGTTTGCCACAGCCTTAAGTAGAGGAAGCTGTCGCCCTCTGCTGGTGGCCGGCGGTACAGGCTGGGCCCTTACACCACCAGGAGACAGTGTGACCAAATTCAAGCATTTAATTGTAAGTTAGAAAAACTGGTGGTGACACTTTTTTTGAGTGGTCCTTCTCAATAACATCAACAATATATTAATGATGTAGCAGCAGTAAATATATTCAGTAGATTATCAAGACACTTTTAATTAACTACGTAAATAAAATTTGTTGATAATCTGCTGAATTCAGCTGGATTTCACTTTATTTGGCTTAGACATCTACTTAATGTAAGTCATATATAAACAGTAAATCTTTAAGGTATTCACTTCAGTGTATTCAGATGCTGCCCTACTGCTACTTCACTGTACTTTGCTGATGTGTAAGTCATTCTCTGTTAGGTGTTTATTAATCATCTACTAGGGACCAAGTGTTACCAAACTGGTTTGCTACATTAACATTAACCAGCTTTCAGTTGTGTGATGCTAGCAGCTGATGCCACTTTACCACAAGATCTCTCTGGTATTCCTGGTTCTGATCGTTGAAGGAGCCTTTGATGAAGATACTGATAGCCTCTTTCTCTACACCTGCATGGATGTCAGAAAGCTCCTGCTGAGTCTCCGTGGGGAACTGGACCTTTTTGGTCATCTCACAGTGGTAGAACTCCACAGCTTCCTGGACGGCACGACTGTTATGAATCCAAGTCAGAGATTCCACTGCATTGTCCAGAGACGGGACCTGACCACTGCTGATCGCCTCAACATACGTCTGTGCCAGAGTGGCCAACACTGAAACAAACATTTTAAGATGATTATTCCAGTGTAGTTTTAACATTTATGTGCCTAATACTTTATTACATCCAGAGTCATGTTAATAAACTGCTTAGATGTCTGTTTCAGTGATGTGACCTTGTTCTTGCAGCATCCATATTAATGACTAATATGTTTTAGCAGGAAAGCAATGTTGGAGAAATGCATGATGATTGTGTTGATATGGTCTAACATCCCAGTGAACACAGTTTTAGTACAATACTGAAACTGAGCTAAACTGAGTCAGGACCCCCATGGACCCTCACAGAGCAGGTACTCTTTGGGTGGTGGATCATTCTCAGCACTGCAGTAACACTGACGTGGTGGTGGTGTGTTAGTGTGTGTTGTGCTGGTCTGAGTGGATCAGACACAGCAGTGCTGCTGGAGTTTTTAAACACTGTGTCCACTCACTGTCCACTCTATTAGACACTCCTACCTTGTCGGTCCACCTTGTAGATGTAAAGTCAGAGACGATGGCTCATCTGCTGCTGCACAGTTTGTGTTGGTCATCCTCTAGTCCTTCATCAGTGGTCACAGGACGCTGCCCACAGGACGCTGTTGGCTGGATATTTTTGGTTGGTGGACTATTCTCAGTCCAGCAGTGACACTGAGGTGTTTAAAACACTCCAGCAGCACTGCTGTGTCTGATCCACTCAGACCAGCACAACACACACTAACACACCACCACCACGTCAGTGTTACTGCAGTGCTGAGAATGATCCACCATCCAAATAGTACCTGCTCTGTGAGGGTCCATGGGGGTCCTGACCACTGAAGAACAGGGTAAAAGGGGGCTAACAAAGTATCAGAGAAACAGATGGACTACAGTCTGTAACTGTAGAACTACAAAGTGCACCTATATAGTAAGTGGAGCTGATAAAATGGACAATGAGTGTAGAAACAAGGAGGTGGTCAGAATGTTATGCCTGATCGGTGTATGTGTAGCCGTCTTAATGTCTTTGAAATGAGCTGCAGGTGTGTGAGAGAGAATGAGAGTGGGTGGAGCCTGGGAACGTCCAAGTTGAGTCTCCTCAGAGGGCTAAAGTTTTGTGGGTGGGGCAACTCACATCAACCACATGATTGTCAAGGATACTGTTATCTATGCATAACTCAAGATTAGGCCCATCCTGTTATTGGCCATTATAAAAGGTTAAACCAGCTAAGTATTTTATGCTATAAACACTTTTCAGCAGATATACAGGATTGAAATGATTGCCCAACCACAAGTCAGAAAAGTGCTGAGGGTAAAAAAATGCATGTCCTTCTAACATTTATGGCATTTGGCAGACGCTCTTATCCAGAGCAACAGTTTGATCATTTTACACAGGTAGGTGAAGGTAGTGTTAGGAGTCTTGCCCCAGGACTCTTATTGGTATAGTGTAGGATACTTACCCAGGCTTACCTAGACTGAACCCCAGTCTACAGCATAGAAGGCAGAGGTGTTACCCCCCACACTATACCAACCACAACATGATCTACTCCACCATTTGCACAGCCAAAATGGATGACAGTGTGTAATGTTTGTAGAATGTAAATGATTGATTATCATCATATTGTAGAACATAATCAATCATTTATGTTTTACAACGTAAATGTGTGTACAAAAGATATCAGGCTGGCGTCTCGTCTGAAACGGGCCTTGTGAGATGGAGCAGTATCAGAACAAGGGAGAACACCAAAGTTTCAACTTTTTAAGATCACATCGCTCCACTTCCACTGGACCACTTACATACTTTATATATTTGATATTACATGCAAAGGGCAAAATATCCAATTATCAGATATTGCTGAATTCTCCTGTGTATTGAAACAATCATTTAGAGATTTCTTGTGCAATAGCAAAATTTTTAGGTGCATTCTTGAACAAAATAAGACATTTGTGCCTTAGATTTAAGGTATGATTGCCATGAATCTTGTCTGCAGGTCTATTTGTGTCAGTATGGCTAATATGCAAATACACAACAGTAAATGATGCAAGTATTTGACTTTTACAATTACTTACTCCTGCCGGTCACTCCCAGGCCTCCCCTCATGGTTTTGGGTTTTGAGTTGGTATAGATGTAGGTGCAGAAGGCCTCTGACTGCTGCACAAAAGACTCATCCAGGTCATCATCCATCAGCTCTTCCATCTTCTTCATCTGCTTAGTGCTGCCTGGCCGCTCAAACACAAAGCACTTGCGCACAGCAAAGAAGTCCCGCAGGCTGCTTCTTGTCTTGTTGTACTTTACAACATTGTCTGTGTTCCCTTCAGTTGAACGTACACAAAAGTAGACAAATAATATTGCAAGCAACAAATCACTGCCATAGTGTGGTCAACCTTACCAAATAATTCAGTTGCATAGAAAAATCACCACTGTGGAAAAGCTTCGGCAGCATTTATCCTAAATATCAATGCAAAAGTAAGAAACTCAGCATTTACTCTGCTTCAGTATGGCTGAAAAACCACAGTTCAGTGCAAAGAAATTCAGGACTTTGGACTGCAAATGCCTCCAAAAATCCTGGGCAACAACTGAAAAAGGTGATTTTGTCAACCAATATTCAGTATCTTCCTCATATTTAAGAGCTGCCTCAGCTCTGTCATGTAGGAACTTCATTTCGGTTAACCTCTTAAAATCCCAGGGTTATTACATAATAAGGGTTATTATTCAGTAACTACAGGGACTTCAATGCAAACTGGCTGAGCTGTTTTTAGGCTAAAGAAGCATATATTAAAATGTGGGCCTGCTGGTGGGCTCTGGCCATTTAAGGGCTTACATTTGTAAGATTGGAATGGTTGCTTAATCTAGTGTCTACTGAGTGGAAATCTTATTAGATCTACAATTTACCTAATGTAATTAAATAGCATTTTGTAATACTCCATGATAAAAGTAGCATTGGTGTATAAATGCAGCTGGTTTTGCGAAAAAAAAAGTCCTTGTTTTCGACTTGACTTTTATTCATTAAATTGGAAATTAGTTCAGGGTACACAAACATACACATACATGTACTGCATATGACAAAATGACATTGTGTGCCTCCTCACCCTGCTTTAACGTCAGTGCGCTTTCCAGGTATTGATCAGCTGTGATTGGTTTTCCATCCAGGTCCAGGGTGAAGTCTCGCACAGTCCATACAAAGGATGGGAAAACATGCATGAACTCTGTGGATTTGCTGTACGCTTCTTCACCACCTACTGCATCCGAGGTCACGTTAATGTGCTCCGTCAGTTTTGTGACATATCTGCGTACAGTACTTTTCAGGAAAGTACTTTTTAGTGTTTTTAAAAATCACCCAAAGAATTACTAAAGCTGTGTCTGGGAATAAAAGGAGCAGCATCTGATGAAAAGAACACTGTGCTGAATTCACGCTTCCTGCCACTCATCAGACGGAGCTAGTTCCCTCACTCGCGTGTTCTGACACGAACTCCATTTCCCAGACTCCTCAGCAAAGTCACATGACTCCGGAGAGATCCTCATCCTCAAATCATCGCTCAAGTTTGCCTGAATACTAATGCTTTGCAGCTGTTTTAGATAGTATTTATACTATTTAGATAGTATTAAATACTATCTAATAGTATTTAATACTATTTAGATAGTATTTAAGCCGGGCTTTAGTTAGAATCTTTGTGAGGTATTGCTTTCTCTACGAAACTACTGAGCGTTTTCTTTCTGATTGTTTTCCTGGTTATGACTTTATTCGTATCATTTTCTCTGACTCTGTTTTTGGATTTGCCCTTTTGTACTTCTGCCTGGTTATTTGGATTTGTGATTTTGAACCTTTGCTTGTTTTGTGGACTTCGACCTGTTTTGCCCTTGTCTGTTATGGTAGCCATTCTCATCTTGCTGTGTTTTCTGGAACTGACCCATGCTCGTTATCTGACTACGGTGCTCATCCCTGATTCCCCAAGTAAAGCTTCCTTTTTGTTTTCAAACCGCGAGCGTCTGCTTTCTGTTCATACGTTACAGCTGACTGTTAAGCATGGGGGTGGATCTATCATACTTTGGGGTTGTGTGGCAGCCAGTTGCACAGAAAACACTGGGCAAAAAGATAGAAAAATTAATTCCACTAAATAGCACATTCTGGAAGCAAACTGAGTCATTCAAGAAACTGCAACTGAAAATAAATCAGGACAGTGATCCAAAACGTACCTCAAAATCCACCATGAGCTACTTCCCAGTCCCCTAACCTGAACATCATTGAAAATCTGGGATATTGGGCATGCAAGGCGGCCCAGGAATATCACAGAACTAGAAGTGTTATGCCAGTAAATACTGGGTGAAAATTCCTAGAACAAGAACAGAAAGACTCCTAGCTGGTTACTGATTTAATATTGAATGGTTTCCAAACTTTTGCACATGCCACAATTACTATTTTATTTTCAAAGTTATCAATTATACAGTGACTTCGTGTTGACATCTGCAGAGAAATCATACTTTTTGCTCCATAGACTTTTTTTTTTAATTAACAAAGTGTTATAGCCAAGTGTGTCCAAACTTTTGCATACAGTTGTTGAGGTTATGTGTGTTTAATTTAAGGATACTGCAGTTTCTCTAGTGCCATGTTGTCTATGACTCCTAAGCTGTTGTAGACCACAGTGCTGCTGAGCAGAACAGCCAGGCAGAAGATCCACACATCATGTTTCTCATCCCCCTAAAAATACAAGCCCTCAGTATGATGATGAATGCTTCACTCGAGTGACACATTTGAGACATTATGTTGAAATCCATTAAAATAAATAAAAATAAATATACATTCCAAACACAGATGTTAAAACAAATGGGTGGGGTTTATCTAGAGTATTTGTACTATAATGTACTATTAAACTTGCACATTTGGAGAGTTTCTGTCCACACCTTGTCCACGTCTCCCAGTCCCTCAGTGTCCAGCAGCACCAGTGTGTGGTCTTCTATATGGGGGTGAGGCACACACCACATCCAGATGCCCTTGGTCTTGGACTCAATGGTGCTGCCCAGGGCAAAGCCTTAAAAATTAGAGTAGACAGACATGGATGGCTAAAAATAGTATGAAGTCTACTGGGTAACACTTTACTTGAACCATGATAAGTAACATTGACATAGTCATGCTAAACATAAACATAAAGATGTTATGGCAGATGTCATAATATTTTATGACAACTCATGATAGCATATAACATGGCATGTTTATCACATGTCAATGGTCCATATTTATCAAATTTATCAGTCTAAGAATGCTGATCTGGGGTCAGCTTACAGCTTTTAAATAACACAGAATAGGATTACATGACCTGATGAGACCTGATCTTCTGTCAGTGTTGTTACTTTAAATTGTTTGATATATATATATATGGGCCAATATTATGTAGCGAAGTTCAAGTAAAGTGTTTTCACCTCAAAATGTCTTGGATGCAATTGCAATCTATTAACATCTCACGTCAATGGGATTTGTCTAATTTTGGTGACTCTAATAATCTGGAAGAACTGAGTTAATTTGTTGATATTTTAACATAACATCGACCATATGAAAAATATAAAAACTATTCTATAGCATAAACTGTCTTGCTCACCCTTTCGTTTCCCTGCCAGTCGGTTCATGAGGTAGGACTTCCCAGTGCGGTACAGACCCACCACGGCCACCACCACCACCGGCTGAGTGATCTGGTCCAGAATATCTAGCGCCTCTTGACAAATGCGAAGGCCTCCATCCTCCGTGTTATTAATGAGACAAACTGGGCTGGGCATATCAATTTTATTCTCTTTGAAAGACATGGTGCCTGTAACAAAATGCGTTAAAAATAATTTGTATCTGATAAATGCACACCCCAAAACAGATGTAGAATCGTTCCATTGCCTAGTGGTTACCTGTAGTTGCAAAAATGTTTTTTTTGCATTATAGGAACCTCCAGTTACACTTTATATTAGGTTAAAATTTCACGATTAATGGACCAATTTAAAAAGGTCTAAAATTGCCCAGAAAAAATCTTGTTCCATTAACTTTCATTAACTTTAACCTCTCTGAAGCTTTCTAAACCTCATGCTAAAGACTGTTTGTTTTTCATCTACTTTTTCTCCAGAATTCTGTCTTAATATTGTATTTATTCTCATGGTGACCACTCCACCCTTTGGGTTAGCTATATGTGCCTTTTCTGCTTGATTTCAATAAAATTTAACTTCTGATAGCAGAAATTATGACTGTTCCCCGCATCCTCTTCTATGCTGATGGCACACTGGTGTCAGAAGTAGGACAGCGCTGACAAGTGGCAAAAAGTGGAATGGCACTTCAACAAACCTACCAGTGGTTGATGAGGAAGAAGAGAAGCTGGCAAAAGAGAAGGCGGTAGAAGAAATGGTGCAGCTGGGGCTCAGCGGGAGAGAGATGGAGCACATCCACCTACTGCGTTACAATAGTGAAGGCATTTGGAAGCCCTACTCTGGGCAGCTACAAATGGCAGCATCTTGGCAGGACGGTGGCAACCTAGCGACACTGACCACAGCTCTCCAGTGGCATCGGTGGCGCTGTTAATCATGAGGCTACACCTAAGCAACACAGCACTATGTGGCGGAGGAGGCATACGTGCTGCATACCCCGAGTGAGTGGTGGCGGAGTGATTGGTGTGCTGGCAATGCAGAAAAGGGACATGCAATGGCAATGCAGAGCGGACACCATGCCAGACAATGCTGCAAACCTGAGCTGGTGGGGAAACAGAAGCCAGCCGGGACGATCACCAGCCAGTGTGGACTTTGGATAGTGTACAACCTAAACCAACACCACAATATCCTCAAAGAGACTGTAAAATTATATGACACAGTATTTTCCACATTAGCCACTCTGGTGGTTTTATTACTGCCATATATATTTTGGTGATTCTGGTTGTTATGATCTTTTAGCTCTGGGGTTAAAGCTCTGTCTATATTGGCACATCATTTGCTAGACTTCCATTACTTATTTTTAGGTATTTCATATATTCATTATTATTTATTGAATGCTGATTGTGTTTTGAACACGCTGACTGGGATGGGGTTCAGTTGTGCTGTTTATCTCTAGGCTGCTGTGCTTAATGCTGATAATATGTGCTGTCCATTGTTTTGTCAAGTGTTTTTGTTCGTCTGTCTTATAACTCACACTCACAGTTTAGCAAGCTGACGCTTCTCCACAAGGGGGAGCTGCTAGCACTCAAGTAGCTTTAGCATGCATCATTAAAATAGAGGAAATTGCACAGCTGACAGTTTTTAAAACAAGGTTATTTTATGAGGAATACTCTTTTCATCAGCTATGATGTGGATGACCACAGGTAAAAAAGCAGTAGGGGTGCAATGGAAGAGATGCTATGGTATGAGACTGGACTAACATGGTAGAGTGGTGAAAAATGGCACCGTCTCACAGCTGGCACAGCTACACAATTAAAAAGTTCATAAATGACTGGAATATCCCATGCCTAATTTTATTATCGCACAGCTATTTTAGTCGGTTATGTCTCCGAGTGCTCTCACAGCTACTTGTAAAGGTGGAAAACCATGGTTTCTGCCCTAGCATCTAATCTGACACCATCTCACCATATTGAATGGATATTTGGACTATTTATGGGTTTATGGACAGAAACACCTGACAGGACACCTGTCACCAGATGTCTACGCACCACACATTTGAGGCCTTAAACACAACACTTACTAAAATAATTAATACTGTAACAACAGGCATAACATTATGACCACCTCCTTGTTTCTACGCTCATTGTCCATTTTATCAGCTCCACTTACTATATAAGTGCACTTTGTAGTTCTACAGTTACAGACTGTAGGCCATCTGTTTCTCTGATACTTTGTTAGACCCCTTTACCCTGTTCTTCAGTGGTCAGGACCCCCATGGACCCTCACAGAGCAGGTACTATTTGGGTGGTGGATCATTCTCAGCACTGCAGTAACACTGACGTGGTGGTGGTGTGTTAGTGTGTGTTGTGCTGGTCTGAGTGGATCAGACACAGCAGTGCTGCTGGAGTTACATGATACATACACTTACTGACTATATATGTTAGTTATGATATAGACACTCATTTGATATTGTAGCACCCTGCTACCAGCTTGTTCAGCCATGGATGCCCGGGTGGCTTGGCCATGTGGAGCGGCCAGTGCAAAGCACCATAGGTACCGCCGTGGTAGCGGTGAGAGACTTAAAAACATGTTAACAGTCGTGACTCTGGAGACATTACATGTGTTATAGTGTTGATTGTAGTGTTATGTGCTGAGCTGTGGGGCTGGTTAGTGGGTCTGTGTGCCTACCATCAGAGTGAGATGTATGGCTTTTCACCTGCCGGCTTTCTGATCGAGTCAGCTAGCACTGAGGTTTCTCCTGCTGCAGTGTTAATAAAAGGGCACTCTTTGAAGAGCTATGTTTCCCGTGTCTCTTTTTCTACGCCAACGCTACAATATATGCCATATATACACTCATTGATTGGAACGTGCACACACTGTCGCTGTTACTGGACGTGAACTAATTTGTAAATGGAACAAATCTTTGTTTTGAGCATATAAGACAAATACAATTAATTTTTTGTGTCACAATTAACGACACAAAGTAGTATGATTAAGCTTGATTAGTTATTTCAATCATTTGACAGCCCTCATACTCATGTATGATATTTAGTTTATGACCTACCATGTATTTTCCTTAGTCCATGTCTTTATGTGAGGAGTTGGAGCAGGTTTAGCAGGCGATCCTCTTTTCGAAGCAGATGTTTCTAACAGCTGTTCAGTCAATTGTGTTCAGGTCTCTCAGTCTGTTTCAACAGAACAAGAGAGAAAGTGGATTTGTCTCATGAACAGGGGATCTAGAGCAAGTGAAAGTGAATCTGTGTCTTCTAAACAGCTTTTAAAGGCTATGACAATGTTTTCCTCATTGTGCCTCAGAGCTGGCATAAATTTCAAAGCATTCACTGCCCATAAAACAAAAGGTTTACTGACTGTTCCATTGTTTGCTCCTTTTATGAGTCACACTGGATATAAAAACAAATAAACAAAGCCTTGGATGTAAGAAGTGAACAACAAATCAGTTATTTGATGTAACCAGTGCTAGCTACATGAGGGTGGAAGCGGCATTGTAATGTTCTATTAAAGTTCAGCATGATAACTTTAGCCCTAGTCAGTTCATGGTTACAGTTATTTGTATTCAGGTAAATTTCCACGAGTGCCAGCTTGTTCTGCTGTGTTGCCGTAGTATCAGTAATGATCTGGCTGATGATACATCACAACTTGTAAACTCAGGTAATGTGAAACTTGCCTTAGATTACCACACATACAACTTTCGGCCAGTGCCAAAGTCTAAAATCTGTCCCAAAATCTAACCTCTGAAAGGTAGGAGTGCAGCTATAACAGATTCCACTCTTCTGGGAAGCTTCTACAAGATGTTGGAGAGAGTCTGTGGGAATTTTTGTCCATTCAGTCAAAAGAGCATTTTGTGAGGTCAGACACTGACGTTGGACGAGAGGGTCTGGCTCACAATCTCTGTTCTAGTTCATCCCAAAGGTGTTTGATTGGGTTGAGGTCAGGGCTCTGTGAGGGCCAGTCAAGTTCTTCCACACCAAACTCACCCAGTCAGGCCTTTATGGAGCTGCTTTTGTGCACTGGGGCTCAGTCATGCTGGAACAGGAAAGGTTCTTCCCCAAACTGTTCCCACAAAGTTGGAAGTGTCCAACTGTCCAAAATGTCTTGGTGCTGAAGCATTAAGATTCCCCTTCACTGGAACTAAGGGTTCTAGACCAACCCCTGAAAAACAGCCCCATATCATCCTCCTATTAGCTTTACTCCACTCCATCTGACGCTTGGCATTGTGCTTGGTGATGTAAGGCTTCATGCAGCTGCTCGACCATGGAAACCCCGCCATGAAGCTCCCGGTGCACATTTTAGTTCTGATGTTAATACCAGAGGAGGTTTGGAACTCTGCAGTTATTGAGTCTCAGCCCTGGTCCTGGAGGCTCACTGTCCTGCACTTTTTAGTGTTTTTGTCACTCTCAGCACACCAGATCCAACTAATCAGCTCATTAACAGCCCATTATTGAGTTAAAGTTGCAGGAAAAGCAGTAATGTGCAGGGCGATGAGCCTCCAAGACCAGGGTTGATCTAGACCAGCCCAGTGTCACAGTCACTCCAGACTGAATGACCTGGTTATCTTATTGCTATTTAGGAAACTCACAGACTCTGAATAAGTGCTTTAAATAATGTTTGCCCAGTATCTAGAAGAATAGTCAATTTTTTAAAATTACATAAAGAAAATTCTCTTTTACTTCACTGTTAATGAAGAAGAGAGATCAAAAGTTTTAAATCAGTTAGGAAGTTTGGTCCCTTTTCACTGAAAAATGAAATAAGTAATTTCTAGTAACTTTAGCCTCCACCTTAACTTTCAAATCTCACATTGATAATGTTACAAAAACAGCATTATTTCATTTAAGAAATATAACATGAGTTTAACCTTTTCTCTGCTCTTTTTTTGCTCTCAAACATGTAGTTGTTGATTGTTTGATTATGGGGACACAATTTGTAGATTAGCTTGCAAATAACACTTCAAAAACCTTGACACAACTTATCATTCTGCCATTCAATTTATTATAAACGCTCCCTTCTGCCTTCTTTATTCACTTGTCAAATGGCTGCATACTCATCGTAACATCCACTCTGGTTTATGCTTATTTATAAAACTCCCCACCATATTTAAGTCAGATATTGCAGCTAGAACCGTTTGGTTCCAAGTGTAATATACAGTCCTCCCATTATGTCAACATAAGGACCCCTAAAGTTAACACATCAAGCCTTATGTCATGTTATGCCTGACTCGATTAGAACTGATTTTAAAATTCTTTTACTGCCTTTAAATCCCATAATGCATCAGCACCTCCATACGTCTCTGACTGCCTGACAGAACATGTCCAAATCGTGCCTTAAGATCATCCAGTGCTGCTTTATGGAATGTTCTCAGGAGGAAGCGCAGAAGCAGCGCACCAACAATCTAGAACTCTTTACTAGTTAATATTCATCAGGCATTGTCTGTAACCAGCTTTAACCAGCAGCTGAAAACGTTTTTATTTAGCTTAGCATTCTGTTAGCTTCCTGTTCTTAATTCAAATCTTATTTCATTCATTCTATCATTCTTAATTTTTTCCATTCTCATCCTATGTTTATGACACGGGACAGTAGGGGAGGGGAAGCGCAGAGAGGAAAAACCATTAAGAATGGGTCTTAAACAAAACTAATAAGTGAAAATAAAATATTTAAATATAAAATGTGGAACTTCTTGGTATTTCTATAGTATAACAGGATGTAATAAATAATGCTGTGGGGACAGTGAGTGTGTTGGGCACAGTTAGAGGGATGTAACTACCAGATAGACATGAACCAGCGAAAGCCCAGCGTCTTACCACCGGTGAGCACAGGTAACGAGTGGAGTTACACCCCTCTGAATGGTCGGGAAAAAACAAACAGAGGAGACGCCAAAACAACATGACTCGAATGATGAATTCAGCCATAGATTTCAGCCTTTCCTCCTCCTTTCCTTTCCTTGTCTTAAATCAGCACAATGTTTCTTTCACCTTTTTCCTCTTTTTTCTCCCTCTACTAGCCTAGAACTGTGCTCTGTTTCTCCTCTTTGTTTTCTCTTTTTACCCTTTTCTTCTGTTTCTTCTCTCTTTACTCCCTCTTTTTTTCTTTTGTGTAGATACAAACCACTGAGTACCACAGTAACAGTGCCTCATTGCCATCAAGTCAAGTCAAGTCAAAGCAAAGCAGCTTTACAGAAAAGGAATCAAGGAAAAACTCCCTAAGATCAAGAGGAAGAAACTTTGAGAGGAACCAAGACTCAGAAGGGGAACCCATCCTCCTCTGGTCAACACCGGACAGCAAACAGTGTTAGTATAAAATATTAAAATACACAAATGGGGAAAAACAGGCGGAGCAATGGTTATATTTAAATAGACTAAGTCTGTGCAGCAGCAGCCGCATCAGCCTCAGGAGGGTCAGTTCATGCAGGTGAGGTTTGTACAGTGTTGTACAGCGAGAAGCTCCATGGTGGTCAGACCAGTTCAGAAGGCTGGCGAGCAGTGGGCACCCAATCAAGGCAGACGAAGTAACAGCATCAGGCACACAGGATGGGCAGTTGATGGGCAGCAGCACAGACTGACCACTTAGAGTTTATTTTACAAAACTTTCTTTAAATTTTAATGTTGACTTGTTCGTATTCCTTTTTATTTATTCATCATTATTACCATTTTTATCAAACAAACACTTTTATTTCTGTTTTACTAACATGATTTTGATGTTTAATTTCATTGTGAGGCTCTTTGAGCTGCATTTTTTATGTATGAAACGCTACATTAAAAACTATATAAAGCTATATAAATGAAGTTATTATCACTTTCACTAAAGTTTATTATCATTTTCACAGTTTCACCTTCTTCATTGTTGTCATCCTCTCTGTTGTTATTGCACTTTGTTCTTTCAGAGGCCCTGCAGCTACATAGTGGCCCTGCTGGTGGTGCCAAATACTCCCTAATGGTGTTCCATGTTTTCTTGATGAGTTGATATCACAGTGTAAAGGACTCAGTGTAAAGTGGTTTAACAGGTGTTCTGATTCTAGATGCATTTGGTTCCCTAATGGGACCTAAAGGTGTTCTACATTCTGCTTCAAAGTTTCTTTAGTAAAGGGAATGGTTCTACATAGAACCATTATGCCTCGTTCTCCAATATCTTCCTCAGTTTGTTCTGAAGTGTGCTGTTGAGAACCATCAGATTCATGACGTGTTCTTAAAGCGCAGAACTGTTCTCACCTTTGTGCTCTTCAGTGTGTGTAGATTCTGTTCGTACCTAAGAACAAATCCCACATAAGAAAATGTCAGAATCTTCATCAAAACTACGTAAGTAGGTTTTAAGAAGACATTTCTTCTTAAGAATGATTGGTGAATGAGGCCCAATGTTTTTACTAAAGAACCCTTAAAGAACCATTCTAAGGCCTATAATGTTAACCACAAAGTCAATTCTCATTAGAAAGCAAAACTAGCAAGTTCTAATCCTAATGGTTCTAATGGTCTTTTATCAGCAGTGTGAATTGCCCCAGTTGTCCTCACAGCCAGTCCATCTCTGCCTTAGTGACTCTTTAATGAAAGTTAAATTGAACATGTTTTTTTAACAGTCATGTTTTTTACTCAAAGTTTTATTATTTAACAAATTGTATTTCTTAAGAAGAGGTGTCACAGGTGGGGCTTCATAAAAAAGTCTTTGTGAAGTCTCTAACTTTCAAAGATGTTGCTACACCTTCCCCTGCTGCACTTGTTTGTAATTACATGTTTTGTAACACTCAACAATACATGTTTGTTAGAAATAAATTCATTTTTATCAGCAAAGTAAAAGAAGTATCAATTAGGATGCTGATTCAGGTGACAACTCATTAATAATGAACACACTGTTACTGTGTTCATCATTAAGAGACAATAATTATTTAGAATTATTATAAAATTGTTATAAAGTATTATAAAGTGAAACAAATAGTACTCATTACTAATGAACTAGGCTTTAACAATGATCTACAACAGTATTATAAAGTGATACACGTGGTAACTCATTACTAATGAACACACTGTTACTATACTCTTCATTAAGTGATAACAATGATCTGGAACATTATTATTAAGTAAAACACATGGTTACTCATTACTAATGACTGAGGTGTTACTATGTTCCTTAATAAGACATAATGATGATCTAGAAAAGTATAATGAAGTCAAACACATGGTAACGCATTACTAATGAACACACTGTCTCTGTGTTCTTCTTTAAGAGATAATAATAATCTAGAACAGTATTAT